GATAGTCAAGACACAAGCACAGGACAGAACTACTATAGATAGATAGATAGATAGATAGATAGATAGATAGATAGATAGATAGATAGATAGATAGATAGATAGATAGACAGACAGACAGATAGACAGATAGACAGATAGACAGATAGACAGATAGATAGATAGATAGTTAGATAGATAGATAGATAGATAGATAGATAGATAGATAGATAGATAGATAGATAGATAGATATTGCCTCAGAGAAAAACACAGCTTGAGCACAAACTCAGCTAGAATTCCTCTAGGCAAGAGTTAAAATGTTTTTATAAATAGAATGAGTACTTGAGGAAAAAATTGGAAAAGAAATGAGAAATAATGGAAGAAAGAATTGGAAAGGGTTAGCACAAGAGGTACAAAACCTTGTCCAAGCAACAGATTACCTAAAAGTCAGAATGGACCAAACAGAAGTCAACGACTCTGTAAGTCAACATGAAATATTAGAATGAAGTCAAAAGGTGGAAAAAATGGATGAAAATGTAAGATACCTCACAGAAAAAAAACAATAATAATACTGACCTGAAAAACAGATTGAGGAGAAAAAAACTTAACAATCACTGAACTATCTGACCATGACAACAAAAAAAAAAATGCCGAGATATTGTATTTCAAAGAATCTGAAAAATGTCCATATCCCTTAGACCCAAAAGGCAAAGTGGAAATGGAAAGAATCCACCAATCATCTCCTGAAAGAAACCCCAAAACAAAACCTCCAGGGAACATCACTGTCCAAGTTCAGAGCTTCCAGGTCAAAGAAAAAGTACTGTAAGCATCCAGAAAGAAAGAATTCAAGTACTGAGAAGTCATAGTCAGTGGCTTAGCACTCATCACTATAAGGGGCAAAGAAATTGGAGCATTCCAAAAGTCAAAAGATAAGGGCTTATAGCCAAGAATAATGTACCCAGCAAAACTGAGGAAAAAACACACCTTTAATGAAATACAAGACTTTCAAGCATTCCTGATAGAAACCAGAAGTATGGAGAAACTTTAAAGTACAAACACAGGAGTAAAGAGAGATATAATTATTTTGTAGATTGATTAGCATGGCACTGAATAAGTAAATTATGTAGAACTGTCATTTTTATTATATTGGCTCAGCCTACCCATGAGCAATTGATATTTTTTTCCAGTTGTTTATATCTATCTTTACTTGTGTGAAGTGTTTGTAATTAGGTTCATACAGTTCCTGGTTATGTCCTGGCACATACACTCCCAGGTATTTTATACTGTCTGCAGTTATTTTAAATGGAATTTCTCTATCTCTTTTTGCTGGGTTTTGTTGGTAACACATAGAAATGCTGATGATTTATGTGGATTTGTTTTATATTCTGCAACTTTGCTAAAGTTGTTCATTATTTCAACTAGTTTTTTTTTTGAGTTGATTCTTTAGGGTTCAATAAAATGCCATCATATCATCTGTAGAGAATGAGTTTTGTTTCTTTATTGCCTGCACTTATTCCTTCTTTCTTATTTCTAGAGCTAGCATCTCCAGTATAATATTGAATAATAATGGTGATAATGAACATCCTTTCACCCCTTATTAAGAAGTGATAAAAGACTAAAGGAGAATTACTTACATTCAAAAACGGGGAGATGATATATGTGTATCCTCTGATCCCTATCATCATTAAGGTTCATAGAGTGAATCTAATTAGATAAGGCCATGAAGTGGTTCTGTTATGTCTTAAGAACAGAAAGACAGGGAAAGAGGAATAAACTAGGAAGGGGGTGGAGCTCTGGGAGGGAAAGAAAGATTAGGGAAAATCATCTAACGTAATTAGTGTGCATAAGTAGATGTCTATATTAATGAGAAGGGAGTGAAGGGAATCACTGACATTAGAACCTCACTCTCATATGAACTGGTCAAAAGAACACACACAAACACACACAGAGAGCTGAGTACAGAAACACATTTCACTCAGCAGGGAAACAGGAGAGAAAAGGAAGAGGGAAAGGGGTATGAGAGGGAGGACAGATTAAGGAAAAGATTGGCCCTAAGCAAAACAAACTCGAAGCATGTACAAAAACATTGAGAGCTCTTTTTGAGGTGGCAAACGATGAGAATCTGAGGAGGGTCCCCATAAAGAAAGTGGATAAACAAGCTAGGGTATGTAAATGTGATGGAATACTATTGTGCTGAACTCTTATTGGTGTCATAACCGACCAACATTCCAGGAGACAAATGATAAAACACGCTTTCTCCATCTCCTGATAGAGGTGGACACAGAAGAATGAGACACATTTTTTTTTAGGATATGGCCAATGTACAAATTTATTCTGAATAACACATATATATATATTCGAGTAATGGGTTTCATTTTTATGTACTCAATGAGAGGTAGGGAAGAGTTGGGAAGGTAGAGCTCACACAATCACAAAAAACAAAACAAAACCCAACTCTGATCAACAAAATGAGCAGCCACAATTCCTGAAGACTCATGATAAAACATGCTGCCCACTTCCTGACAGAGAAACAATGAACTCAAGAATGCAGATTGAGACTTTTTTTTTAAGACATGGCCAATGCAAAACTTTGACTTGATTATACATGCTTATAATGGAGATTTTGTGTTTCTTGCTTTCTCAGGGTATGTGTAGGAGGGTGAAAAGGCTCTGTTTGAAAATAAAACTGTATATTTTACAAAGGAAGAGATGTGGCTAAATTTATAAGTGGATAGAAGAAGGATGAAACAAGTGACTCATGATGGAAGTCTATTGAAGCTGAACAAAAAAATAACTATTTTGTTCATCTCAGTAGAATGTAAGCTGCACAAAGGCAGGGACTATTTATTATTTTGTCTTTGTATCTTTAGCACCTAAAATAGGGCTTTGCATATAGTGAGGAATTAATAGATACTTTTAGATAGGACTAAACCATGTCTGTAAATAACACCACCAGCAAATACATCAAGTATTTTATTTCTTTGAAAAGTTTATGTACAATCACTGAGGGTCAATGTAACACATACACACACACACACAAAAAGCAGAGCAAAACATTCTGATTAATGATGAAATGAAGGATTAAGAATGTTGGTGACTTTGATAAATTTCAAACCTCTCTTTTGCATAGTTTAATATGATAGCCATGTCATTTTAGAATAAACCTTTAGTTCAATGGCTCAAAAATGAGCTATTCCTAAGAAATATGACTTTCCTCTGGATAAAATAATATGGTATCTCAAAGTCATGATTAATAAAGTTTTTTTTTCTTTTTCTATTTTTTTTTTTGAGACAATTGAGGTTAAGTGATTTGTCCAGGGTCACACAGTTAGTAAGTGTCAAGTGTCTGGTCTGAGACCGGATTTGAACTCAGGTCCTTCTGACTCCAGGGCTGGCACTGTATCCACTGCACCATGTAGCTGCCCCCATAAGAAAGTTTTGAAGAAAAAGATTGGTAGCATACTTTTTTGCAATGTTTCTTTATGCCTTTTTAAAAACTATCATTATTCATTAGTATAGAAAATTTGTTCAAAGAAGTAAATTTTATAAATTTTTTTTTTAACAGGAAAAAAAGATGATGACAAAAAGGCAGATATGGTAACATAAAATAAAGGTACCTATTATTTTCTGTTTTAGAAATAAATAGTGGTTACCCTCAATTTTTGAGGACATACATAAATGGTACTAGAGAAGTGATCCATTTAAAACCTACTTGGTGACAGGACAATGCAAAATTTAAGATCTCCATTTCTTATGTAAACAAAAATAAAACAATATCAAATATGTGTATTACTGAACCAAAGTTCAATTTTGTTTCATTATTTTATGAGACAGATGACTGATAATAAACTATTAAAAATGCAATAGTTTTATTCCAATTAAATTAAGAAAGCTCAATTGCTTCTTTTTTTGGAAGGTTTAATAGACAGTGCACTACAGTGAACTTTAGCTAGATCAAACTTAAATAAAAGAATGTTGTAATAACAAGATTACTTCTTCAAGGAATATTTTTCTTTCTGATAAATCTCCTGCCAGTTGGGTTTTTTTTTAACTTACACATATGAATTGTAGAGATTTAATAGTTCCTTTTAATCAGCATTTCAAAAATATTTCTGTTCACATGTGATAATTAAATGTTCATTTTTTGTGACTGCCTTAAAATCCTTTACGATTTTTTAAATGATACTCCTTGGGATACCCCTAGACATTCAATGTATTATATAAAAACATTTCATACCTCTAAGCTCTAAAACAAATTAAAGTGCAATATTTTCATATACCAGTACCTGCGAAATCACTTTTTCTGGGACAAGCATACAAAGTTTCCCTCAATGTATGAATTATATTCAACATGAAAAGAGAATATAGAGCATTGTAGAATTAAATGCTACAACCTATCCCAGATTCATTATATTATAATGTGAGAAAAAATTATAATATCAAAGGAAAACCATGTGTAAAAAGTGTGATTTCATTAGGAAATGGGAAAAAATTCTTGTCATTTTTTTCATTTTGTCGATTTTTTTTGTTCACAATTACATGATTTACTTAAAATTTATCTCTAATTCAATCATTTAGAATAGCTAAATAAAACTTAGGAGTGTCAAAGATTTATCTGTTGCTTATAAATAACTAAAGAAAGCAATGATCATTTGTAAAGTTCTCTTCCTCATGTCTCAGGACTCCAATTTACAAGGCCTTTTGTTCTGTGCTAATTTGAATTTATTCTTCCCACTCCAAATTTGAAAAATTTTAAAGTAAGACTCCTCTAGAGGTATTTAATGGGCTACTTAATAAAGAAGTACATATACATCGTGTAACGGCTTAAAATTAATTTAGCACTTGAGAAAAAAAAGAATAAACTGGCAAATTCAGTCAGTAGGTTTCTTAAATGAAAGATTATCTTGGTTACATTCTTCTAGAACATGATGAAAGTTCTGACCTCTCTACAACATAGCCATGACATCTAATTCATTTCCAACAAGATGATCATACGTTGGAAGAATAGCATCAACCCAATATCTGGTAGAATAATTAAGGTAGCATTTATTGCCTAACTACTTTCAATGATGATTGCTTCACTAGTTTTTGCTGTTGTCTTGTTGAACGGGCATCATCAATGGCATTACATGCTCTCTGTAAAACAGAATATTATGAATTAGAAAAATAATCATTAAATTGTAGAAATAAAGATTAGAGGAAGTGAAGGAGAAGAGAATAAACAGTAGAAATTGGCCATGTTATATTCGATAAAGTTTCAACCAACTTTCACCTACCACACGGTAGGGCAATAGTTAGTGAGTATGGTAGGATCTAGTGAAAGGATAAGGGAGACTTGTTTTTAGGGGGCAGGGAAGTAACCAGTAGATAGGGAGAAATTAGAAGGAGAGACAGAATCCTAGTGGGGAGCAATTGTAGAGGAGACAGATTAAGGTTATGTGTAGAGGAGTAGCCTTGGCTAGGGAAACAGCCATCTCTTCAGCAGAGACTAGAACGAAGAACGTAGTGGGGATATCATATCAGGGGCATGTGAGATGAGGAGAAAGGGAAAAAAGGGAACTTGTGGTATACAGCCTCAGTTTTTCAGTAAAGTGTGAAGTGAAATCTTCAGCTGAAAGAGGGAAAGAGGAGACTGCGGGAGGCTTAAGGAAAAAAAAGGTCTAGAATAGCTGCAGTGGTGAGTCTGGCTAGAGAGGAATAGAGTGATTGCTTTATGACAATGGGGGCCCAGGTGAGATTATGTAACTCTGTAGTGGACCAAGGAAGTATTGTTTTATACTTTCTGTGGTATCAATTAGTAAAGGAAGTGGATGGTGAGAAAGGAAAGAAAGTCAGAAGATGGTTGTGGAATGATGATACCACACTATACCACTCTCATGGGTTATTTCTTTTTTTTCTCTATCTTTACTTAGAGACAATGTTGACAACCAAACCAGTTCCTGCAATCAGCAGTGGAAAAGACCTTGTTGTCAACTATCAGAACTATCAGTTTAAATTGTTTTTCATAACATCTATCTCTCATACTTGTCAGAATTTGTTACAGTAGAAATAGAATGTCCTCCTTTCTCTAAAGAGGTAGGTCTCAATTCCATCCAAAAAAATGTTAATTTCTGGAGAAAAAAAAATCTTGACCTATAATAACATCTTCTGATTTTTAAATACATTTTAAATACGTGGAGATCAAAATGTAATGTACATAAAGTTTTAAGATATGCTCTTTTCCATTTGTAACATTGCTCTTTTAACAAATAACCTTGTTCTTCAAATCAGTCAATGTTACCATGGCAATCATAAAACCTGGTCCCCCGTGAGCAGGCTAAGACAATGAAGACAGAGACAAAGAGATGTGGAGAATCCTCAGACTCTAGCATTTTCCCCATTCTATGCACTTCATCTGTCCTCTCAAGACCAAACTTTATGTCACTTAAAGGACACCAACTTTGTCTTAAAGAACTTTGGGTTCCTATACAATACTCAGGACATGGTCATACGTTGATACAACAAACATTTCTTAATTGTCTGATATATGCTCAGCATTACCATCAATAATTATAGTACCAGGCTGAAGAAAACCTAGGATGACTCATCCCCAAGCAATATTGCTGGAAGTCAGAGTCTGAACTGAAGGGCAAGCTAGGAAGTGGAGGAATAGCAAAGGGTACCTCACTTGCACCCTTGAAATCATTCCTAAACCTCTTCTTCTGGGTGAGTTCCAAGTCTAGCTGGCAAAAAGCGATGCAGGACAATTCTGAACTTACCTACTAAAATTCTAATGGAAAGGATTACTGTTCCTGCAAGTTGAAAGAATAAAAGCCACTAATTGGCCAATGCTAATAGAGTTCTTCTCTTTACTTTTCACTTATAAAATCTTTAAATGATTTACCATTGCTATTGTTGGATCTTGCAGATAAACTTTTCGTACACAAGCTTGATTGACATTGTCCTTTTTGCAGAACAACCCATGATCCTGTTTCAAAAGAAAACAGAACAGAAACAGTTCTGGCTAGGCACAACAAAACAAAAAAAACATCCCACAGTTTTTAAATGGATGCTTAAATACCAACTCTACTTTCTATTATGCCTTCACTCCCCAGGACACTCATTATTGGAATGTCATTATTTTGCAAGATTGAATCTTCCTAGTCCTCACATCTTGTCAGCACCCTTGTTCCTCTGGCTGGACCCTATGACTACAGCCTTCAGCTCTACGGCCTCTACTTAAAGAGGAGGCCCATACCGGTTTTTTCCATCAGCTTCTCTGGAACTCTCCAATTTGTCCCCCACACCAGGTACCTTTACCCCTCCACTCACCTGTTTTTCAGCTTCGTTTTCTGTATTGTCTCCTCCCCCATTACACTGCTTCCTTACCTTAACTGAGATTTTTAGAAGATTTTCATCAACAGTTGGAGGTGATACAAAATCTTCAAATGGGTGCTGCCATTCTGTGGATATGTGGCCTAAGATCTCCACTTCCTTTACAAAGAGCACTCGCCTATTCATAAAGATAAGTAGAAAAAAGTGATTAACAGAGTTAATCTTTTCCTCACACAAGTTATGTTGAAAAATAGTATGCTCAACTGATCACTGCCTACTAAAATGGATATTGCAGTTCAGACTAAAGAAAAGTGATGCGCATATTGGTTTAGGAAACTAAGATTAAAAACAACCTAACGCTTTCAAAGATTACCCCTTGCCAAGTTTGCAGTATTTGGAAAGGTGCAACATTTCATGAAACTGCACAAAAATTAACAGGTATATCATTAGAGACAAAAAGAGTTTCCAGTTACCGCTGCCTTATGCTGAAGAATAGGTATACGTATCACACTGGCAACACTCTGGCTAGAGAAACCAGATGGGCAGAACCCTGGAAAAAATTTACCTGGAAAAAATTCCTTACCTGTTTTCTAATAGTATTCATTTATGAAGGAGTATACCTTCTAGTCAAGAAAGAACATGTAAGATGTCACAAATGTTAAATGTCAAAGGGTTTATTTACAGCCCACTATGATCAGATTTTGATGCCTTAACACTGACTACAACAAGACAAAACCCACCATAGAAGAGTAGTTCATTTGCTCACTAGAAACAGAGATATAACAGCGCACTTGGGTAAGGCTACTGGTTTCTCATTATACGGTTCAGATTAATTGCTTAGGGAGACAGACATAAGATCAAACATATAGAGCCAGAAGGAACCTCAGAGACCAATTAGTCAACTGTCCTCATTTTATAGATGAAGAAACTAAACCCCAGAGAGATTAAGGCACTTGCTCAAGATCATACAGCAAGAGATGGAGCCAAGATGGTGGAGTAGAGGAAGCACTAAAGCTAGTTCTTCCAATATTCCCCTCCGAATACCTTTAAAATTAACACCTCAAATTGAATTGTGGAGCAGCACAACCAAAAAGGAAAAGTTGAGGTAAGATATTCTTCAAGCCCAAGAAAACTTAGGAGGTTGGAAGAAGAGATCTGTGACACTGACCTCCAGACCCTGGCCTCAACTGCATGCAGGGGCAACACCAGCAGTGGCCTTGAAGGTAGCTATGACAGCAGCAACAGCAATACTAGGAACTCTCAGCCCAGAAAAGGTCAGGGAATTGGGTAACTGATCAGAAAGAGATCTGAGAGAATGCCTATACTAGCACTGGGTACAGGACCGGGCACTATTTGGCTACTCCACTGCCCATACTTACTTCCAGGGCACAGTCTCAGGGCAGAGTACTTAGGTCTTCCTAACTCCAGGTTTGGTGCTCTAACCATTGAGCAACCTATCAAATTCTATCAAACATTAAAAAATTAATTAATTCTAATACTATATAATCTATTTAGAAAAAAACAGATAATGAAGGAATCTTACAAATCCCTTTTATGACATAAATATAATTGTAATACTAAACCAGGGAGAGCAAAACCAGTGAAAGAAAACTATATACCAATTTCCCTAATGAATACTGGTACAAAAATTTTAAATAAAATACTAGCAAGGAGACTATAGTAATATATCAAAAGATATACTGGTACTATGACCAGGTGAAATTTATACCAGGAATGCAGAGCTGGTTCATTATTCAGAACTCTACAAGCATACCTGACCATATCAATAATAAAAACAACAATCAATGAAAAAAATATGAAGGAAGGTAGCCTACAAGTACCAAAGTACTTTGTATACTACAAAGAGGTAATCTTCAAAACAATATGGTACTGGCTAAGAAACAGAGAATAGGTTAGGTACGCAACATACAAAAGCAAATAACCATAATAATCTAACATTTGATAAATCCCAAAATCCAAGCTTGTGGGGCAAAAACTGACTATTTTCAGACAAAAAAATTGTTGGGGAAACTTGGAAAACAGTCTGGCAGAAAGTAGGCATCAACCAACATCTCACATCATATATCAAGATAATGTCAAAATAGGCACATGCTTTAAACATAAAGGGTGATATTATAAGCAAATTAGGGGAAAATTACCTGTCTGATCTATGAATAAAGGAAAAGTTTCTGACCAAACAAGAGATAAAGAAGATCACCAAAGGTATAATAAATAATTTTGATTATATGAAATTAAAAAGCGTTTGTACAAACAAAACCAACGCAGCCAAAATTAGAAGGAAAGCAGGAACCGGGGGGCGGGAGAGGACGGGAGAGAAGAGAAAGGGAATTTTCAGCAAATTTCTATGATAAAAAAGGTGTCATTTTTCAAATATATAGGGAACTAAACCAAATTTACAAAAATAGGAGCCATTCCCTAACTGATAAATGGTCAAAGTATACAATCAGGCAGTTTTAAAAAAAAAAAAATCAAAGTGATCAATAATTATATGAAAAATGTTTTAAGTCATTAATAATTAGAGACATGCAATTAAATTAAATTAGAAAAATGCAAATTAAATGTAAATAAAAATTAAAACAACTCTGAGGCACCACCTCACACCTATCAGAAAGGAAAATGATATGCCGGAGGCATTGTGGAAAAACAGGTACACTAATGCACTGCTCATGGAGTTCTAAATTGGTCCAACCATTCTAGAGAACAATTTGGAACTATGCCCAAAGTGCTATAAAACTATGCATACCCTTTAACTCAGCAATACCACTACTAAGTACATATCCCAGAGGGATTAAAGAAAAATGGAAAGGACTCATGTTTTAAAAATATTTAGAGTAGCTTTTTTGTGTCTACAAAGAGTTGGAAACAGAGGGGATGCTCATCACTTGGGAAATGGCTGACCAAGTTATGGTATATGATTGTGATGGAATACTATTGTGCTAAAAGAAATGATGACCAGAATGGTTCCATAAAAACCTGGAGGGACAAGTGAAGTAAGCAGAAGCAAAACAACATTGTACACAGTAACAACAATATTGTAATGATGATCAACTGTAAAAGATTTAGCTACTCTAATCAATATAATGATCTATGACAGTTCCAAAAGACTCATGATGAAGAATGCCATCCACCTCAAGATAGAGAACTGATGAACTCTGCGTGCAGACAAGGATATTTTTTCACTTCCCTTATTTTTCTTTCAAAATGGCTAAAATGGCAATGTCTTGCATGACATCACATGTATAATGGGTATAATATTTATTGCCTTCTCAATAAGTTGGGGGGGAACAAGAGAGCAGGAGAGAATGTGGAACTCAAAATAAAAAAAAAGAATGTAATTTTAAAAAACTATAAACTAGGAATTAATGAGCTTTTGTTAAAAATGATTTTTATTGCTGTTTAGTCATTTCAGTCACGTCTGACTCTTTGTGATCCCATTTGGAGTTTTCTTGGCAAAGATACTGAAATGGTGTGCCACTCCCTTCTCCAGCTCATTTTACAGATGAGAAAACTGAGGAAAAAAATCGAGTTGCCCGGGGTCACACAGCTAGTAAGTGTCTGAGGCTGGATTTAAACTCAGTTTGAACTTCCTGACTCAGATCTTCCTGACTCCACGCTGGGTACTGGGTCCACTGTGCCACTCTTTCAAAATGATAGGCAATATCTACCTAAAACCCAGAGCAAGCTTTATCTATAATAGAAATAAACTAGAAGCCTACTCAGTGAGATAAAGGGTGAAAGGATGGTCATTCTCACTACTATTATTCAATATTACATTATAGATGCTAGCTCTAGCAATAAGAAAAAGAAACTGAAGAAATAAGTAAAGGTAGCAAGGAAACAAAACTATCATTCTCTGCAGATGATATGATGGCAACTTAGAGAATCAACTAAAAAAAACTAGTTGAAACAATGAACAACTTTAGCAAAATTGTAGAATATAAAACAAACCCACATAAATCATAAGCATTTCTATATATTACTAACAAAACCCAGCAAATAGAGAAAGTGAAATTCCATTTAAAATAACTGCAGACAATATAAAGTACTTGGGAGTCTATGTACCAGGATACACCCAGGAGCTGTATGAACACAATTACAAAACACTTTTCACACAAATAAAGACAGACCAAACAACTGGAAAAATACTAATTACTCATGAGTAGGCTGAGTCAATATAATGAAAAGGACAATTCTACCTGAAGTAATTTACTTATTCAGTGTCATATCACTCAAATTACCAAAGAATTATTTTACAGAGCTAGAAGAAACAGTAACAAAATTCATCTGGAAAAACAAAAGGTCAAGAATATCAAGAGAATTAGTGGGAAAAAAAAAAGGTGATACCCATGCTGGTTGTGGCATAGAAACATAACAGAATATTGTGCCATATGAAATGATATATATAAAGTATATCATAGGTAGGGAGGTGGTGTGCACTGTAGGTAAGTAACTTCATCTCTTTGTGCCTTGGTTTCCTTATCTGTAAAAATGAAGATAATAACAGCACAGACCTAACAAGGTCGTTGTATGAGGACAGAATGAGGTAACATGTAAAAATGCTTCACATACCACAAAGTGCTATATGAATACTAGCTATAATCTATTTAAAGATAAAGAAACATGGAAAGACATATAGTGATTCAGAATAAAAAAAAAAGCAGAATAAAACTAATATGTATGCTGACTATAATTCCATAAACAAAAAAGGATGGTGTTTTAAAAGGGGCAAAGTAACAAACAACATGTTTTTGTTATCTTGTTAGTTTATGCGCTTTTAAAAACTAGTCTAAATAATAGACTTTACAGTTAATGTGGATCTTTTTTATTTGAAGGTTATGTTTTTTAAACAAAAAAATACAAATAAAAAATAAAAATGTATAAAGTAGAAAATTCCTTTGAAACCTTAATTTCAAAGAAAATGATGATTTCTATTAACTTTTCAACCCAGTGAGGAGAATGTGTCAAGGTATTTTTCAATTCAATTCAATTCAATGGTCACTTATTAAAGGCCTATTGCATGTTCTAGGCTTCGTACTTTGACAGAAAGAAAAAAATAAAAAGTCCCTGCCCTCAAGGAGCTTACTTCCAATAGAGAGAAATAACATAGACACAGAAAAACAAATAGAAAGGAACTACAAAGTAATTCTAGGGGTTATAAGGCATGGTAACAACTGGGGAGTTCAAGAAATGCCTTGTGTAGGAAGTGACGCTTGATGTGAACTTTCAATGGTACAAATACAGAAGAATGCAAGAATCACTAAAGGACTTTGAGACAAAATGAACCTAAGAAAAAGCTGGTAAGTTTAGAAATCCTCACCATTCATCAAAAATGGTAGCTGGAATCTAATGCAAATTTTGCCTTCTACACCCATTCTACTTTGAGCCTACAGAACTATGTTATCTAGAAAACTTGAAATACATTGTTTAGAAAGAATCCTCCAAAGTTGGATACTGCGACTAATCCCTAGGGGAAAAAAAAGAATATTTCTGTGCATTTATTTCAGAAAAATGGAAATCTGTCTCAAAAAGACTTAATAGATTCTAGGGCACAAATAAATAGAAACAGAACTAGCCTGTAAAAGAGAATACCAGGTACTCTAAATATAACCTTACATTTAAATGTGATACTATGACCACTGTCTTTATTGATGTTGAAAGTTAAGAGACTTAAATTTAAGAATCAGTTCTACTACTGATTAGTTGTGATACCTTGGATAAATCATTCAATTTGTCTAAACTTCAGTTTCTTTTTCAGTAAAATTATGAGGTTGCATTAAATGATCTCTAAAGGTGACAATTATTAATTAAATCAATAAATAAATTATTAACTTAATTTGAATCTAATTTACTGTTCAATATTTTAATTTATTAAATTATTTATTTATATTTCAATTCATTTAAATTCTATTTAAATTTTAAAGTTCACTCAGTCAACTAGCTATCCTTCCAAAATTTTCATTTTTATATATACATTAAGTTTCATATGAAAAATGCCACTTTACCTATTTGTAACCACAAGATTTGCATTTTTGTATCTAGGAATGGCACAGTGGTACTGGTAGGTTTCGCCATCCAGCTTTTTTATGTGATTCTGAAAAAGAAAAAAAGACTCAAACACTGGAAGCACATGTTTGTAGTCATCTCCAATACTGAAAAGCAGATTCACTGATTACAGTGAGCATTCTAGATTTGAAACACTGATTCCTACAAATGGAATCTAAATTTCTAATATTGGTATAGGAAGCTAGAAAAAAATTCCTCTCATGCTCTTCTCCAATCAATTTTCCTTATTGTTTATACAAATAAATATTACTAAAGGTTTACTAACATTATTTCAATTAAATACATTTTGTTCAGCTTTAAAAAATGATAAAACTGTTTTTAAAGGGTTAACTAAACCCAAATTACACAATACCAAACATGTGAAAAGGAAGCACTATAGCACTATATTTACAAACAGGGAAATGGCTGTATATGGGGATGTCTTCCCCCTGTAATAAAAAAGGCAACATATATTATTATTACTTTAACATAACTATATAATAACAGATACATTTGCAGGTTATACATAGGCATGATTATATTTACCTGTTAAGCTTTATTTCAGATAAAAAGCACAATGACAATATTAATGAGAACATAGAATTTCTAACATTTTAAAACAGTTACCACAATTTTTTGCTAAAAACAAATATAAACATAAGACAATCCAAACATAAACAATAAATACACTAGAAACATATTCTTCTAGACTCTTTCAAAGTCAATGTTACATATAGTATGTGCACAGTCACATTAAAACTGACAAACTGGTCATTTCAATAATCAAGTTATCACTGAGGTTATTAATCAGTATTTGTATCTGTATTATGAAAATAATGTGAGGTAACTGATTTCAAAATACACAGAATTTGTAGTTAACTAGCAACTAACAGTTTAACAATTTGTACACAAATTGCACAAGTTAAATATCATAGAAACACTATATAAACAGGCAGCAAAATTATTTTGTTCTTATGACATTTTCTAAATTTCAATTCTTCAGATGCCTGGTCCAAGCTCATCCTCAGGTAATCCAAAACTCCAGCCAGGAAGGAGGGAGATCCATTTTCAGAGAGAAAGTGAAGTCTTATTTCTCAGAATGGGTCTCAAATTGGGGTAGAATTGTCAGATCAATAGTCTGTACAAGGAATTCATTTGAATACCAACTCTTGGATAAAATCATTTTACATTTTGCTAATTTTTCTAACTAGAGAATTTACTGTAATTATCTAGATTTGAATTTCAGTTTTGAAATACAAATTTAATATGTTACATTCAAATCAAAATGTATATTAAATTCTAACCATTCTCTATCTTGTATACATAAATATGCACTTACTGGTCCAACTTTTACATTGGTAGTTTAGTTTAACAAGAAACTTTTAAGTATAATTTCGAAGTATGTGACATTGTACTCAAAACAGAAAGCAGGTTTTTTTTTGTTTTAATAAATTCCACAAGACACTGTGAGAATTTATTGCTTGACTATGCGTATTTATTACAAGTGGTTTTTGCTTTCCTTTCTTTTCTTTTCAAGTAAAGGGGAAAGAGAGAGGAAAGATGAGAGAAAGAAATTAAATGGCTGTTAAGTGAAAAAGGAAATCCAACCAAAAAAAAAAAAAAACTATAGCATTTAGATATTTCAAATGAAGTTATTTAGGCATGTTGTCCATGAATAGCTGGTGAGTTAGAGACTAGATCAATTGCTAAAATAACTAATATCCAGAACTTGTCTTATTTCCATTCCAGGAGGGTAGAGAGTAGTTTGGAGGAATTTGTTCTTTTCAAATTGGATTAAAATATGTAACAAGATTTAATACCCATCAATGTGAGAAAATCCATAATCATTCACACTAAGCAAAAATAATATATTGGGAAGAAAAAAGAACATGAAAATCATGAGAAATATCTAATAAATGGCTAGTAGACTACCCACTGAACTTATGGTTAGTACCATACTGTTAAGAACTTATTTGTACTTTAGTTGCTTCGTTCATGTTATGTTTATTTTCTATATATATATATATACGTGTGTGTGTGCATAATATACCATAAATTCCCTGAGGGCAGAGATCATGTGCAGTACTTCTTTTGTATCCCCTCAGTACTTACTACAGCTTAGGATATATAGGTAGGCACTCAATAAATACTTGCCACTTGAGTGATTATTATAGCATGAACAAGGGAGAAAATTCTAGTTTCCCTAGAAGACAAACTTGAACAACCATATTATGAAGTTATCAAGTCCTCTTTCTGTTTACGTAATATAAAGGACCTTGCAGCATTCTAGGTTTTAGAATAATAGCAATACAACTTAATGAATAAAAGTAACAAGCCCACTGATAATCAAAGAGGAATACATATTTATTTACCCAGAACTTTAAAAAAAACTGCCTCTGAATTACAGTTATTATCACTCACATAAAGAAGGGAAACACTAGATAATATGTATTAATATAAAGATTACTTAAAGCATTAAATAAATATTATGGTAAAACACATATAGGTAAAGGAACTTCTAAAGTTCCATTAAAATCTCACTACACCTTAGAAACGAAAATATTCATTTTACCTTAAAATGGGCAATTTATGGATGACTTAAGACTAAAGCTCTAATTTGTATCCATCATTTTCATAGAAAACTATATGAATATAAATATATAGAGCTGTTTCCCAAGCCCTAAGCATCTAAGAGAGCCTTTTATTTCCTCTCTGGGTAACAATCTTTTAAAAAACACATAATCTAAGTCAAGATTTGAGATCCCAATACTCATTCTACAGAGAAGTACCACATATCATATCAATATTCATTTAAAATTTCAGTCTAATTTTTTAATGTAGGAAAACACTATAGATGCTGGAGGAGACACTGCCTCATTTTCTGGAGAGTGACATTGTATTTAGAAAATTGCAGTGTATTACAGCAACTCTATGTGGCTTAAAGCCAATAACTTCTCTTCTAACAAAATCACATATTGGACGGGATATGCCAGGAAAAATACCACCAGATTTCCCTGATCTTGGATGTTAATTTTCATAGAGGTGTATTAATTCATAAATTGTTAGCAGTTGCATGTGAAGCAAAAGAATAAATTTCTCTAAAATTAAACAGGTCTTAAAAGCCCATGGTTGGTTTGTAAAACATAGATAATTGTGTATATAAAAGTACTACTTAAATAATTTTCTTATTTTTTTTATTTTTATTATTATTTTTTTTTTTTTGGCGAGGCAATTGGGGTTAAGTGACTTGCCCAGGGTCACAGAGCTAGTAAGTGTTAAATGTCTGGTCTGAGACTGCATTTGAACTCAGGTCCTCCTGATTTCAGGGCTGGTGCTCTATCCACTGCGCCACCTAGCTGCCCCTTAAATAATTTTCTTAAGTGGAATATTATGTTGCTATGGTAATCAAGATCAATGATTCTGAGATAAATATTCTGTGCCAAATTGAGTTCATTTTGAAAAAACTTGTGTGCAAAAAAGGTGAAGAGATATTTATTTATTTATATTTATAAAAAGGACCACTGTGGTCACTATGAAGTAAACAAGGCAGAATGTGACTAGATAAATGTTTACTCTATCTCTTAGCTAATTGTCTTAAATTCTCGATACAAATTGATCTGTAATTCACAGTTGGTCATTATTAAAACAGGTGCCCAAGATGACACACCTATAGCTCAACAGAACCTTGGGCATTCTGGGAAATAAAAGCTGTATAATGAAAGTGTTAAGACCTCAGAGTTAAAAGAAACAAAAGAATGACTCTAGTGATTTGTATTCTCTATGATGAAGCATTAGAGTATTAGAAAAGCTGAAAATTCTAAACTTGAAAAGCAAAAGCACATCATTTTGGAACCTCAATAAGGCTTTTCCCCACCTAATTAAAAATGAATTATTTTACTGCATCATTCTGCATTTCAAAACCATTCTTAGTGTTGCCATTCGTGACACAGGAATACCAGGAGTGCTAACATTTTGGATTTAGTGCATAAATGCCTCTCGACTTATATTTAAAAGTTCAACAGAAATTAAGGGTCTAAAGTACATTTCATTGAAATTGACCCTCAATCTAAATACTCCAAAGGCAGTAAATTAATACCACAGTATTTTTAAAGGATGAGACCAAGTAGTAGTATGGGAAATATTTACTCCTCTATTTCCAGTTCTTGCTGTGTAGGCAGAAAAAAAAAAAAGATAGAAAATAAAGTTAGAAGCATGCAAAAAAATAAAAGCACAGTAACTTACAATAAAAAAAAACCTCAAGGCTAATAACATTACAGATTCGCTTTATTTTGAGGACAAAACTGTTAGCAATCAATTTCTCCTATTTTGGGGGAGAGGAAAAGAGTAGATTGCAAGACAGTCATAATTAACACATAATAAAGACAAAGCTTGAAAGTCAGAAAAATAATTTAAAATATGTTCTAAGGATCAAAAAGTTTTTACGTTATATTATCTTTCATCTACATCATCCTACCTGAGTGAATTTACATTTATATAAAAATCCAAATCAATTTGATATAGAGAAAGAAAAGCTGTGAAATCCAAAATGCCCAGGTAAAGTATAAGAATGTAATACCTAAAAAGCATGAAACACAAATGAACACTCCGTAACTAAATAGCCTGCCCACCCTAAACGTGTTTCATATCCCATGGCTTCATTTAATATTCCTATTCTTCCCTGTCCAAGCTATGTTTTTCCAAGTAGACAACTGCCTATAGCTCCCATTCATAGTGTTGTGTGAAATCAATCCCCAAAGGAATGCAATAATCAGGGGGCAACTACAAGGACAATGCAAAGAATGTGGTACAACACAAAACTTTCTTGAAATCTAAAAATATAAACATAACTTCTGCATGACCAAAAAGCATAACAAATACCTCAAATAAATCATGACCCTCAGATTCACTTCTGTCATACGGTCTTATGATCCCATCTTCATGGATCAGGCGAGGAGGGCGGAGACTACATACATCTTCAGTTGATTCTGCTGCCCTATATGAACAAAGAAGCAATAATAAAACAAACTTGGTGTAATGAATTTGAAGTCTAAAGGACTAACGTTCATATCCCCTGGACACTAGTTCTGTGACCTGGGCAAGTCACACTGGCTGATGCATAATAAGTGCTTAGTAAATGCTTGCTGACTGACTAACTCTACAGCTCAGCTGCCCCTTGGGGGGATGAACTCAATGGCTTCTTTCAGCTCTAAACCTATGATTCAATGATCCTACAGAGCTGATTAATATCTTACTCTAATCTCAACCCCAACAGTCTTTAGAAATTAAACGAAAAGATAACAGCAGCTTTAAAAGGGAATGGATAAAGAACTACAGAGAAGATGAGCAGAAAGGACAGAATAAAGAATACATGCAGATTCCAGCATATTAAAAATAAACCCTGAAAATCATGTACTTCCAATAGACCAATAAAAATATCATGCCAGAAACAATACAGAAGAAAAAACAAAACATAAGGATGAACTAGTTGCTGAGCATTGTATATATTCTCTCCTAAAAGATTATTTTTATTGAATTTTTCATTTAGTTTGTATTGCTATTGGCTATAACAAAACTTGGTGGCTCCCCTTTAATTATCACGATAAAAGTAAATCAAAAGTACCTAAAATACCTCACTCTCAACTCAGAATGGTGTACCAAAACCTGTCATTGCAAAGAAATAGAACAGATAAGTTATCGTAACACTATACTACCTTTATGAACCACCATGACAGGTGGTGTGGCATAGTAAACGGAGAGCTGGACTTAGAGTTGGAAGATGAGGATTCAAGTCCTTTGATAGCTGCTACCCGGGTGACCCTGGGCATACTACACAACACTCGGTGCTCAGGGTAACTCTAACACTCAGCCAGGCCTGCACTGGTAAAAAGATTTTCCTTTTGAAGGAGTTCCCTATACTGATGAAATCAGAACTCCAGCCAGCCCCTCCACAAAAAGTACTATCACAGTTTTAATCTGCATTTTCTCACACATACTAAAATGGTCAAACATCAAATTGTGGTTGTTAGTATGTTTAGTTCCTTGTTATGAAAGCTAAAGTCTTCTATATGCTGGTACATTGGATACTGGTGAATTCAGGGCTTTATTTAGCTGTATCCTTACTGGCTAATAACCACACATCTGAAAAAAAAGAAGTGGTCCATTGCTTCAGTCTTCTCTGCTTCATTTTTAAACACATGAGCCCCATGTAAAATAAGCTTTTTGGTCTACATGACCTTTGTTCAAATAACTACGTACAATCACTCATTTTAAAAACCTTATTAAGAAATCACATTCTCCTCTAAAATATATATATTTTTTTACCTCTGAATTCCTTGGAAGGTACTGCTGGCCATATCAATGATGCCACCAGTTGGACGAGCAACAGCACCTACAAGTCCTTTTCCAATTCCTTTAAAGAATCCAGCTGGTCCTTCCTTTTTAGCTCCTTCAGATAAACAGAAGATAATAAGATCTATTTTAATTACTGAGTTCTTGACTAGTTAAAAAATACAACACAACTCTGTATCCACAAAATGCAGAATAAAATAATGAATTGGTTAATAAAGCAAACTTTTAGAAATGACCTTTCTGAGATATAAATTTAGTTTTATTATTCAACCTAAGAGTCCAGCTCAGAGTGCAAAGTTGAAGAAGACATTAGGAAATTTGTCTTCTTTATGCTTCAAAAGTAGAAGAATTAGCAACCATTTCAACCCTCCTACCCCCCAGAAATAGGAATAGATTGAGCCAGAGGAGGAGAATTATCAAAATCCTATGGATTATCATCCTTACTTCAGTAACTGAAGTAGTAACAATATACATAATTAGAATCAACTCTGTGTGTGCTCACAGAATTTTGAGCTCATGGCATGAGAATAATATTCAAAGTATTCTCAGTTTGGGACTAGTATTCAGTCAATTCAATCAAGATCAAGTGTAAGTGAAATTTGTTTTGCTCATAGCATACAAAGGTGTTTCTAAACATGGTTCATTAAAGAAATATTTTCATCCTACCTTCCATAGGCTTGGTAATGATTCCAGTCACACCACCTACAACTCCCTGAAAGAGAAATCAGTAACATATTCAATTAAAGTTGTCTTAACTTTAAATGACCACCAGAGGTCTCTGCTGCCATATTAAATTCATTTTTAAGTATATATTTTATTAACAGATATTATTTGGATATAACTGCTAACATTTAAAGACAGTTACCTGGTGTTACAGAGTATATTCCCCATAAAAATAAGATCTTTGACATTTAATGTCTAATATCGAACTTTGCAAAAGGTCTCATAATAAAGTAAAACAGTTAAGTAAAACTAATAACACAGCAATCTTGTCTGAAAGTACATGCACCATTTCACATCTACTGCACCCCCCATCCCTCTATTTTAAAAAAAAAAATTAACAAATCTATTTTTACTCCATACTACTTTCCATTGAAAAAAAGGGAAAAAATAAATTTCTTATATCAAGCAAAACAAATACCCCAGTGATTGTAACTATATTATATATTATATATATAGCATATATGATATGTGCACGTTTGTCATTTTGAACCTTAAATCCATCACTTCTCCATAATAATTATGTGTCATCATGCTTTGGAACTGGTCCTCTGGAAACATGAATGGCCACTGTATTGATTATAATTCTTATAGCTTTCCAAGTTGTTTTTATAATATTGTCATTGTCTAAACTATTCTCCTGGCTTTGCTCATTTCATTCTTCATTAGTTTATTAAAGTCTTCAAAACAATTCTTTTTTTGTAATACGATACAATAGTATAAACCGTACCGGTTCTACTTATGTCACTCTGCATCAGTTCATATAAGTCTTTCCATGTCTTTTTGATATCATCTATTTTCCTCATTTTTCACAGCATAAAAGTACTCCATCACATTCATATACCACAGCTTATTTAGCCATGCCTCAACTGATAAACATCCCCTTAGTTTTCAGGGTTTTTTCCCACCACAAAAAGAGTTTCTATAAATAATTTTGTGCAAAAGAATTTTTTTTTCTTGGTCTCTTTTGGGGATAGGCCTGGGTCAAATGGCATGTACTCCTTAGTAACTTTTGTATATAATTCCAAATTACTTTCCAAAATAGTTGCAATCATTCGCAAGTCTACCAATAATACATCAATGCACCTATTTTCTCACAGACCCTCCAATGTTTATTATTTTTCTTTTTTCGTCCTCTTTACCACTCTGAGGAGTATGAGATAGGATCTCAGAATTGCTTTAATTTGCATTTCTCCAATTAGTGATTTGGAGTTTTTTCTCATGTAGCTACAGATAGTCTGAGTTTCTTTCCTTGAGAACTGTCTGTTCATATCCTTAGACTATTTATCAATTAGAGAATGGTTTTGTCTTAACGAATTTGAACAGTTCCCTTATATCTTTTGGAAATGAGCCCTTTATCAGAAACATTTGCTGCAAAGATTTTCCCCAGCTGTTTCTCTTTTCACCTTAGCTTTATTATATTTGCTTATGTAAAAACTTTTTAATTTTATGTAATTAAATTATCAATTTTATCTTCTGTGATCCTCTCTAATCCTTATTTGATAATGGACTTTTCTCTTATTCATAGAACTGATAGGTAATTTTTGCCTGTTTCTCTAATTTGTTCATGATGTGACCTTTTCTATCTCGGATATACACCTATTTAGAGCTCATCTTTCTATGAGTTTTATGTTTTATAAAAGACATCAGACTACTATCCACTTGATCACTATTTTCTTTTCTGTTTAGTATATGGTAGTATCATGAATAGTGACAACTGCCAGACATCAAATCACCACCACCATCATCACCAAAATCATATCTGCCACAGCACTGTCATCCAAATATAACGATTTAGTGAAAAGAGCTGAAATCACTCATTAATTTCTGAAGCAGTCCTATCTATTTGTGGACAGATGTAAAAGTTAAATTTTTTCCCTCATCTTGAGCTGCAATAAGCCTCCCAAAAATTTGCTCCTGATAATTTCCTAACAGTAGTCCTAATTCTGTACTTTGAAACCAACCCTAATAAACCTAATCCCTCACTTCTGTGCTAGTCCTTCAGTCACCACAGCTGACATTTGGATAACCCCAAAGTTTACAAAGTGTTGTAAGTGCTTTCTTCTCATAAAAAAACCTATGAATATTATAACATTCCCATTTTACAGAGGAAGAAAGTGAGGATTAGAGGGGGCACATGATTGGCCCAAGGTCAAACCAGCAAACATCAAAGCTGTTATATAAACCCAGGCTTTATGTGATCCTATAGCTAGCCCTTTCCCATTAACACAATTTCATGCATCAACTAAAAGTAAACTTGGTTTTCATGAAGTCCTTCCACTCTATAAAAACTGTTAAAGTAAAATTGTTATAAACCACACACTTAATTTGAACCTAAGTGAATCAATGAAACATTAACTAAAAATAAAGCAAAAAAGTATACTGGTTATGGCTATGCACTCAGCCTTGTCTCTAAAATTTAATTCTTTTAGCAAAGCCTGGTTAAAGGATATAAACACCCAGTCCTCGCCTCAAGAAGAAAGTAACTAACAAAGGCAGTGTATACAATACAAGTAGTGTGGCAAGTTCAGCCTCATCATTTCCCAACACAAACTCTGGTTTAATTTATTAACACTTATACACAAAATGTAGATTTCTCCTGTTGCTCTCACATTATTAAATAACTACCGCGAAGCAAGTTTAATATTGATCCAAAATGAACATAATACCCTGAGGAAGCCCTTTCCTCCTTTGGCCAAGCTGTCTCCAAAATCTTTAGGCTGACGGCCCATCTCTTCTCGTCGTTTCTGCTGATATTCCTTGTCCATTGTAATTGCAGCCAAACCTTTCCCAACAGAACCTGTTATTCGAGACACAACTCCTGCTGCTCCTCCTAGCATAAACAAAATGAAAAGTTGTTTGTTTGTTTTTTTAAATCACACACACAAAAGAAGTCATAGTTCCTTACATGGCAATATATGATACTTAATAAGAAAATGTAATTATTTCAAGACTCTGTCTCATATTTAGCAATATGCAAAATTAATTAATCCATTTGGAATTCATTAGGAAGAAAAATAATCTAGAATATTTTTTGCAGATAATCCTCACTATTTTTAAATTCTCAGTTTTTCTGGCATATAACTGTGCAACATAGTTTCTGATAATTTTTTAAATTTCTTCTCTGTTGTGATTTCATTTTGTTCATCTTTGTTCTGGTAATTTTGTTTTTTGTCCTGTTCTTTTTTAATCATTTCAGCTAAAAATTTATCCATTTTGTTAATCTTCAAAAAAACAGCTTTTAGTTTTGATTATTCTATACTTGTTTTATCTTCCATTTTATCTATTTTCTCCTCTAATTTTTTATTTATTCATTTTTAGGCAATTGGGGTTAAGTGAGTTGCCCAGGGTCACACAAGTAGTAACTGTCAAGTGTTTGGTCTGAGGCCGATTTTGAACTCAGGTCCTCCTAACTTTAGGGCCAGTGCTCTATCCACTGCGCTACCTAGCCACCCTCTCCTCTAATTTTCAAAATTTCTATTAGCTTTATTTCAGATTTATTTACTTTCTGATTTTTTAAAATTCCATATTCAATTTTTTGTAATATGTCCTGGCAGATATTTTCCCTCTGAAAATTATTTTAGCTACATCCTAGAAATTTTCATAGGTTATCTATCTTTATCATTCTTGAATAAAGTTATTAGCTGCTGTTTTGTTCTTTAACCCATTCATTATTCAGGATGTCATCGTTGTCCCCAATTATGCCTGTGTCTTTTGCTTGTGTACCCTATTAGTTACTAATTTTTATTGTCGTGATTTGTACATGGTTAGATGTACAAAGAACATGTTTAGTATTTCTGCTTTTTAACTTTCACTTATAATTTCTCTGGCCTTGCAATATTCTTTTTTTTTTAAATTAAAGTACTATGTGACACTGACAACAAGCATTTTTTTTAATGATTCCATTCACAAGATGCCATAGTTCTTTCAGCTCGAAATTCTCTAACAGTTTGGCACAGTTCTAGATTTTCTTTGTCATCCCCATGAATTCCTGGTTTTATTTTTTTACATTTATTTACTGTGTACAACAGATTGTTAGATATAGTTTTCTTATCCATTCTGCCATTCTCTTTGGTTTTATCAAACTTTTTATTTAATTCACACTTTAAAAGTATGATTAAGCTCTTATCCTGCTATGTATGACGCTCATTTATCCCAAAAGGCTCTCCTCACCCTGACTCAAAAATCAAACAGTCCCTGCCCTCAAGGAGCTCTAGTTCTATGTTCTTCCTCTCCTCTCCTCTCCTCACTTTTCCTTCAAGTGGCTGGGCAAAACCAGTGTCTGTCATTTCTTGCAGGGCTGAGCATGCCTGGGCAAGGTCACTGCCATGAGATAGGACCTTGGAGTTGGTTGGAGGTAGGAATGCTGGAAGAAAGCTCTAAGTACTTATTAACAGATTTTTAACCTTGCATAAGGCGTTATATCTGATTATCTTGCTGATTCAGGTGAAATTACTTTATTCCTGGTTGATAATAATCATAATCATGATAATAGTAAATTTACTACTAAAAGCTTGCATTTATATAGTGCTTTAAGGTTTAAAAATCACTTTGCACATGTTAATTTAGTTAATTAATACAATTCACTTATTTTGAGGTTTTGATTTAGAAAAATTTATATTTAGCAACTATTTGACTATCTTGCTGATCATATTAAATCTCTCTAAGATGGATCAACTCAGGACAGCTGAGTGACAGGAAGAACCACTGCTATCTTAAAATTATCTTTCAGGTAAAGGCAAGAGAATAAGTATTTTTTACCAAGAGATGCTAGTAGAAAAGAGACCTCAGTTTGATTAAATATGAAAATTTTATCATAAAATATCACTGTGACTATAATGAGTAAACCAAATGACACATACCTACAGTATGTCCAAAGAGACTTCTTACTCCAATTACTAACCCCTCAGCAAATTCTTCAGGGCCCTGAACAGCTCCCTGATTAAAAAATTAAATTTTAATGTCTCACACTTTGATTAAACAGCCTCTATTCATACTTTTAGGACTAATAAAAACATACATATTTTTCCAGAGATAACCTTCAAAAAAATGAAAATTCCATCTAATTCTATGTTTTAACATTCTTCTCACCTATATTTCCACTCATAGAAGTAAATCTACTGAGTATGTGTTATGGTTGTGCCATCCTTATCTCTAAAAGAATTTTGTCAAATTCTGTGAAAGACCTAAACATGTCCAACAACAGAGTCAAAGGCTTTAACATCATATACTTTAAGCACACCCCAAGGAAGAAAGCACAGGAGACACAATTCTTGCCTGAAACAGTCATTTGAAGTTAGACTTTTCAATAGAGAGGCTTGGGAAAGGTGAAGCAACACAGTGCTGACATCAAGACTCAAGAGTGTAAACTCAAATCTGACATGTCAGAAACTCATTTTTTCCAATTTATCTTCTCTAACTCTTATGCTTTCTTACAATCTTTAGAAAGGGGTTCTTAGCCTGCAGTCCATGAATATGAACTTGGTGTTTTAATAGTTTGACAACTGTATTTCAATATAACTCGATTCCTTTCTAATCCTATGTATTTTTTTTTTATACATTTAAAAACCTTAATCCTGGAGCAGATACATAGATTTCACCATACTTACAAAGAGGAGCATATCACAAAAAGGGTTAAGAATACCTACCCTAAAGGTAAGTACTACTAGCTCCTTTAAAGAGCCCAGGTAATGCTGAAAGCAAATTTAAACCTGTCAAAATAAATTAACCCTTTGAGTGCTTCATTAATTCAGTCAAACTTAAAGTCCTATTTCTGTTTGAGAAAAAGGTGAAGTAGAAACTCAATTTTACTATGCCTGGGGTCAAAACAAATAGAATGAAATACCTGAAAAGGTTCATAGAAGAGTGCTTCAACGCCTTCAGAGAGACCTCTAATTAATCCAAATGGATTTCCAAGTACATCTAAGCCCAATACAAGGACATACAACTGTTTCAAAAACTAAAGAATAAAAAAAGAGCCAATATGGACCATGCAGTTATTTGTTCACATTACATACTTCTAAAAACAACAGTACTAGTTAAGCTAAATATTTCAATTGAATGGAAAAGTAAGATGGGCAATATTTGCAAATCAGAGCAAAAAGGAAGTAGAATGGCAGTGCCACAAGCAAATGAAATCTACAGTATGTTACATACAGTGCATAACAAATGTTGCATAGAGTATAGAAATAGTGCCCAAGAAACTCTAGGTAGTTAATATACATTCCTGAGCACAAACCTCATGCTAGAATACTCTAGGTATGCCTCAGTCTTTTTTTGGTATGGAGTTATAGGATTCCCCTCGTATAACTTATGGGGCTAGATTCTTTTCAGGTTCAAGCTATTCCCAGGAGGCTTTACTCTTCGACTCCCTAGAGCCTTCGGAGCCTGAGAGGTACCCAACTTCTAACTACAATAAAAGAAATATCCTGAAGTAACATTTTATTGAAAAAAAAATTACATATGAGAAATTTATTATTCAAGCAAAGGACCAAGTAAATAATTAGGTAGTCGCCTAGCCTATTGGGCAAATGAAAATGGGTACATTTGCTGTTCTCTTGAGTCAGAAATTACCTGTTCACTGTAGTGCCTGACAACACTCCTCATGAGCTGATCTCTCTTGTAGAACTGATACTGAACCTCGTAGTATGCAAGTCTGAAAAAAGAAGTACACAGAGGAACTGTCATTCTTAGTAACTGATAGTTAATTTAAATACAGCTAGAGTCTTGATTACTTAAACTTTTTAACAATTAGCTTTGCAAAATGGTCATACAAATTTGACAATTTCCCACTGTAAACATTTATGGATTTCTCCAAATTACCTTTTCAGTATTTCATTCTTATAAAAAATTTAGGAGAAATAAAATCTGATCTACAGCCTGAGAAGCACTATACTTGAGGATATTTATCTTCACTAATAAACAGATATTGAACTAAATTCTATAGGAAAATCTCATCTTGACTATACTAATCTAGCATTTAGGATAATTTAAGGAGAAACTAGGTTAAAATTTACCTCTGTTTAAGGAACCCTTTCTTCATAGAAAGCAGAAGATCTTAAGAAAATATTTACAAGCACTCAATTATGTAAGTGCTAATTTACATGAAAACAACTGATCTGCTAATTACAAATCATTCTTATCTTCTATAAAGGACTTTGAGGAAACTCTTTGACCCTAGTTTAAGTTGCTGTATTTGCTAGAAAGTGATATAACCATATCTTTTAAGGAAATATAGAATTAAAATTATGTCCAATCGGTAGGAATAACAATGAAGTGTGGGACAGGAGATCTGGGGTCTACCACTTATTCACTGGGTGAGCAAGGGGAGTTTACAGATAAGGAAGTAAGGAAATTAAGGCGTTAGACCACCACAATAGTCACTTAACTGGTTCCTAACTGGTTGTTTCTACCTATCATCTCCTATTTCTCTAATCCTTCCTTTACACTGCTGCCAAAATAGTCATCCTAATAAATGATCATGTCATTTCCTCATTCAAAAACTTTCAATATCTCCTACTGAAATACAAATGCCACTGCCTGGCATTCAAATTCTCTCCCTCATTTGGCTCCAAAGTGACCTTTTCCGGTCTTTACACTATTCACTTTCATGCATTTTATGCCCTCGCTCTCACAAGGCTTCTTAAACTGTGGGTCAAGACCTCATATCACAGTTTAAGAAGCACCAAACTGCAGCATTCACTGTTGCAAGATTACCACCTGTTCTCTTGTCTTCATGCATTTTTCTGCTTCATCCTCCATGTCGGAAAAACTTCTCTCATACGTCTGCCTTCTGGAAATCGTCCTTACCTTCTAAGTCCGGAGCAAAGAAAATATCTGCATCCTCCCACATCCAAGTGAGAAGTTATCAATTCTTCTAGGAATTCTCATAACAATAACAGTATTTATTTTTCAAAGGTTTCCTAAGCACTTCAACAACAACCCCCAGCCACCTTACCAGCCACCACAGCTCTGAAGCAGAAAACAACCATGAAAGCCTTAACCCTTTCATGACTGGAACGTCTGCCCTGGGGAATGACTGCCTGCTTATTAGTGGTTCTCTCAATCACCCACTATAACTAGGATCAGCTTAATCCAGGCTTCATTTCATTCCCAGGTTCCTGACAACTAGGCCCTTCATCCCCTACCCCCCTACCCTAGTCCACTTTCAGTTCTGGAACTACTCACTGGAAGTGAATAGTGTATAATCAAGTCAATTCTGTAACTGTTTTCAGAAAGGGTGCATCATTCTACACCACTAAACTTTACAAACCAAAATATCCCCTCCTCCACACCCCTAGCCTATATGCCTTGTATTCTCATCTCCCCATATTAGAATGTAAGTTCCCTGAGGGCAGGGATTGCCTACATGTCACACAAATGAGTTTTTGAAGATTTTTATATACTTTAACATGTGACATGATATAATATGCCACACAACATGATAATGATGTGACATGATCTATTGATGGTATGTGATATGGCGTGCAACATGCTATTCAACAGAATTATGATCACATGCAGTGACATGTGATTACACTGTAAAATGTAATGCCATATGACATGACATAGTCTACCTGAGCAAACAAAATATAGGTGAATAATAGGATCAAAGTAGAAGGCATTAGAAAAAGCATTGGGCAGAGAATCAGAGTAATGTGATACAATATAAATAGCATAGTAATATAAAATGACATGATATGGCATGTGATTGAGCATGTGACATGACTGTGATGACATGAGATGACAGCATGTGGTACATGCTGCGTGGCATTATATGTGGTGGCATATGACATGTGATGACATGTGGCAGACAGAAACAGGAAATTACTTGACATAAGGTATCCCACAGCATGACATGTGACAACACACGATGTAACAGTGCATGGCATGTGATGGCACTATGGCCTGGCACTAACATGCAGCTACATGTGGCATTACATGCAAAGACATGTGACATACAGCATGAAGTGTGATGGCATGTGCCATGACGTGATAATGTGATGCAATATAAATACAACATGATGTGACATGACATGATATGATGTTGGATACTGGAATATAAAAAAGAATCTGGTATTTAATTATTATAGGGACCATCCTGGTATGGAAATATCACCACCATCATAAGTTGTAACCAGTCTATGAGTTAGTCTGTCAATAATAGGGAGATGCATGAGGCACCAAAATTAAGCAAAATTACCAAGATCACACAGCTTATTAAATAACAGAGCCTAAATTAGGATCAGATCCTCAGACTCTAAATCTATGACGAAGACACTGTCCTTGGCCTCAAGGAACTTACATTCTAGTAGGCAGATGATGCTAACACAAACACTATAGTAAACAATATTAACAAAATGCTCTAGTGGTGTAAAACTAAATGCTTTGTGGGGTCTGAAAGCATCTTACCTCTAACATGAGATATCAACAAAAACTTTCTTGAACAGAAGATACTGGAGTTGGGTTTTGAAGGACAGGTAAAGAATTTAGCAGGTAAAGTTGGGCAGGAAAGAAATAATAAACGTGATGTTTAAGGAAGACTGTACAAATAGCTTAATGCAAGATTGTTTGGGATAAAAATCACAGGCCAAAAGAATAACAAGAAGCTGCAGACTTCCAGTCATGAGCCTCCAGGCCTAATGAGGGGCAGAAGAAATTTAAAGACAAAGGCAGAGAAAGATGGACAAATCTGAGGAACATGATGGTGGAAGACTCACCAGGATTTGGTGACTGGCTGAAATAAGAGATAAATGTATGTGTACGTTTGGTATGTATGTATGTGTAGTATGTTTGTACGTTTATGCGTATCCCCAACGATTAGTAGTGTTTGAGTATTTGGCATATAGTAAGTCCTTAATAAATGCTTTTCCACTCATTCATTCATTAATCCCATGAGGCAATATTATTATCCCCATTTTGCAGATTTAGAAACTGAGGCTCAAAAAAGATTATGTAACTTGTTCTTGGTAGGATTAAGTCTCTTGACTTTATTCCTCTTTCCACTATACTATGCTACTTCTTTTTCACACTACTGTCTTTTCCTAGGAAATTACATTACAGCTACTTATGTTAATGGCTTGATTTCTACACTAGACCATAAGGTTCTTAGCGGGCAGGGATTGTTTCATTTTCTTTCACTTTCAAATCCATAGCACCTAGTACAGTTTTTGTTGAAGTGAAGTGTATTTAAGATAAAGGTTATGTACTGTATACATTATAGTTCCTTTTACTAAATAGACCTTGGCGAATTTCTACAACCTGTGACATATAAAGTTCGAGAGATATAGTTTCTGGGTAATTAACCATTTTATTAATCATGCTAACGATAATTAAAAAAAGGGTTCAGTGACACTCTCAAATGCCAAAGACTTGTCGTGGAACCCCCTTGACCATATGTGCCCTTGGAAGAGTAGGTTTTCCTGAGGGTGGTAATCAACTCTGACTGGTTAACAAGTAGTGAGAGACTGAATATTATAATTAGGTGGGCTTATTCTAATGAGGATCTTATGACTCTGATCACTCAGTCCTGGTCAGAGAGATTTATCTATACTAATATTACCCCTTCTAGGGTAATCTAGACAAAAGGGAGAATTCGCTTTTTCCCCAGACTCGTCTGGGTAAAACACAATGGGCTGAATCCATCAATTCACCTAAACTTCTTTACCTTTTGAACAGATCTGAGCTTTCCTTATCTCTCATTATCAGCCCTGCACTTCAAAGTAACCTGACTAAATCTACAGGGGCTGATTTCTGAATGAAGAAGTAAACGAAGGGAAAAACATTAGTCCTAATTCAATAACTGGTTATTAATATGAAAGAAATAATCATTTCTCTTAAAACTGATTTTCAACACTTTAAACATAGTCTATGGCTTATAATTTGTTAGTGAGAATGATGTCAGTTAACTTCTAGAATAAGATATTATACTACCTGGGTAGCAAAACAATTAATCAATTTAAGGTCACTATTCTCAACCACCACATACCTTTTCTGTTCAAGTAAAATCAGCTTAAATATGGGTATGATGACAATGGGAATGAAATGCTTATGTATAAGTAACAACAGCTAACATTTTTCCAAGTTATCAATATGCGCTCTGAATGGTACAGATAAATGAAAATTAATCATTAAAAAGATAAACTAGTAAAATGTAGCCTTCTGAGTTCTCAGTTTATTTGAGAACAATGCTTACTTGAATATGAGGTCATCCACATCAGTCAGTGTAGCACCTATGCTTTTCAACAGCAGGTTGACAGAATGAAGTGCAATCATTTCCTCTTTTTCTTTGTCTGATTCTTCACCACCAGAACCCAAGGAAAGGCTTAAATGTAACTAAAAGAAAATAATTTTTAATAATGGTATCCAAAAAAACCTATTAGATTCCTCATATGAAACAACTTACACATATAACCACCTTGTATTTCTTTCCAAGAAAATTTTGCTCCATAGTACACCAACAAGAATTATTAATCTACAAACTGCTTAGTAATTCACTTAAAATATAAAACTTCAAACTGATTTATCTAAAAACTGTTGAGAGTTGTAACATTTTACTAATACATCCATGTTTTCATTATAAGGTGGCTAAGAATATAAGCCAAACAAATATTAAATTAGCTCAAATAAAATGGTGAATCAGCTACAAGTCATCCATGTTTACTGGCTAATGCTTCATTTTTACCCAATTAACTAGACACCCATTTGCTGTAATGTACACTGTTGAATGCACTGGCAATACTCTTTTTAGAAAAATTGGGCATGTTCTCAACTCTAATATTTTGATGCCTCCTCTGCTCTCTATGACTTCTCAAAAATTATTAATAATTAGCTTACAACTATATTATCAAAACTGAATTACTGATGCAATAAAGGCAGCTAGGTGGCACAGTGAACAGAATGTTTGACCCACATTCAAATATGGCCTCAGATATTTACTAGCTGTGTGACCCTGGGTAAGTTATTTCACCTGTCTGCCTCAATTTTCTGACCGGTAAAATGGGATGATAATAATAGCACCTATCTCTCAGAGTTGTGGTGAGGATAAAATGAGATAATCTATGTAAACAGTTTCACAAACTTTTAAGCACCTTATAAATCCTAACTATTATTGTTGTTATTATTAATAATAATTGATACTTTGATAGACAGGTCATGAACAGTCCATATCAATGATTTTCCTTCTATTTTTTTTAAGATGATCAGCTCTCAGTTCAATATAGTGAAAGATTTCCAAATTCTGCATGGTTCCTTTCAATGAATTTGGAATGTCTCCCCACACATGTATCTTAAGAAAATTAAAATCAAATTTTTGTTCAAAATCTAAATATCCATTCATTCATTTAGCATTTACTGAGCAACCACTATAGGTTATGCTAGATACTACTACCATGGGAAAATAAGATATATCAAAGTAAGTAAATACAACATATATAAAGAGGAAATAACAAACTGATTTCCCCAAGGCTGGAGAGAGATACACAGCAGCTAGGGGGTAGAAGGAGAGGATCAGGAAAGGTCTTAAATATGCCATCAAATCTATGGAATCTATGAGGCAGAAATAAAAAAGGAACAACATCTGAAGGATAGGGAACAGTCTTGCAAAGTCATAAAATCAGGAGATGGAAATAATCGGTTCATATGAAGCAGTATATATGTATATATATATATATATATTTGGGATATAACCTCAAATTTCTTCTTAATGACATAAAAATGAAAAAGCAAGAAATGCCTAAAGGACTTTCAATGTCTGTTTTATAGTTCAAAGCACTTAAAGTCTTTTCACAGTGTGTTAGCATAAATATTTGTGGTTACAGTATAGCATGTTATCAAATGGTATGGCAGTAAAAACTATAAAAGAAGCCCAAACCAGGAAATGTTCAGGTCAATTTCTTGTCAATAATCTTTATTCAACTTTATACCTAAATTTTAGGTCATCTTAAAAAAAAATTTCTACAAATCCTGTAACAACACATTGGTACCAAATTATAACTATTGAGATGTTACTAACTGCTACTTCAATATTTCAGTATTACTGAAAGTAAATGCTGGGCGGGAAAGAGTTTGTGAACACACACACACACACACTCACACACACACACACACACACACACACACACACACACACAGAGATGACCATAAAAGATAAAATTGACATTTATACAAATTGAAGAGCTTTTGCACAAACAGAAACAATGCAGTTACAATCAGATGGGAATCAGCTGACTGGAAAAACATCTGTGTGTGTGTGTGTGTGTGTGTGTGTGTGCGCGCGCGCGTGTGTGTATACATGCACCTGAAAATACCACATATTATATTTATATGAATAGAAACCTAGCAGGTTAAAGAGTACGAACAGGTAGTTTTCAAAGAAGAAATGCAAGCTATCAATATCTAACTGACACTAATAAGGGAATTTCAGGTTAAAATAACTCTGCGGTTCCATCCCAAATCTATCAGAGTAGTAAAGAAGACTCTCTCCAAAAATGAAACTAACAACTGTTGAAAGTACAATGGGAAGACAGGTATACATGTGCTGTTTGTGGAGTTGTGAACAGGTCTAATCATTTTAGAAAATAAATTGGCATTAAATCCCCAAAGTCACTAAACTGTGCATACTCTTTGATCCAATGATACCACTACTACACATGTACTGCAAAGAAGTCAAAGATAGTTAGAAAGGACTCATATGTACAAAATTATCCACAGTAAAGCCTTTTGTTGAAGCAAAGAAATGGAAACACAGTGGATGCCTATTAATTGAGGAATTGTTCGATAAATTATAACATGTAAATTTGTATATAGATTACTAATAGAATATTATTGTGATATAATAAATGACAAAAGGAATGGTTGCGAAAAACCCTCTAAGACTCGTATCAATTGATGTAGTCAAGCATTAAGAACTAGGAAAACACAATGACCACAATAATGTAAAGGGAACAAGTTCTGAAGACTTAAGAATTCTGATCAATGCAATGACCAGTTATGATTCAGAAAATTAATGATGAAGCATGCCTCCAATTTCCTGACTAACAGGTGATGGACTAAAGATAATGGACAAGACATACATTTTCAGACATAACCAACATGTAAAATTCCTTTTGCTTGACGTATATACTTATTTGTAACGAGGAAGGTTTTTATTTTGTTTGGGGAAGGGGAAGGTAGAAGAAGGAGTAAGTGGCTATCCACGCAAGACAAAGAAGAAAATAAAGAACAAAGCACCAATGAAACAAAAAAGCATGCAGACAAAAGCGGAAAGAAGTTCAGGAAGGATACAGACAGCCAGGGAAATGTTATTATTATATTGTTAAATTTAACAACACTTTTAAAAATATTGCACGTAACAAAAGTTTACAGTGTTACATACAATCCAATTTTTTTGTTCTGATAAAGGTTATATATGAAGGTTGTACACTGAAATGTTCGTGTTTGGTAACATTTGCTAAGCTCATTATAAAAGGAAAAAAGTGAATGCTGACATGTTTTATGTGTATTGTCACAAATAACATAAGTGAATATAAAATATTAGTCAGTAAGCATGTTTGCCTTGTAACCAATTCATCATGCTACTTCAGATAGTTGTTTTAGAACTGTTTGTATTCTTAGTTACCTACTAACAATGCAGCAAAATACAAGAATTTCTCTAAGAATGCACAATGCTCTATAGCTATGGAATGCCTGTTGAAACATGAAAGGCTTTTGATATCCTAAATGCTTAGTTCTTAAGTTTATAATCTTCCATTTTGTAACTTCATAGGAAGACAACAGCAAACATTTTTCAATATAAAACTAAATATATACATGTGATGAACTAGTTTTCCTTTATCATTTGGCCATTTTCTAAGTATTTTACAAGAAGAATTCAGGAAGACTACTCGGAAAAGGGTATTTGGAAATGACAAGGCAAAAGCATATGATACTTTTTGTTTTGTTTTTAACATATACATCTGTCTACCCTCTAGTATGGCCGTGAAAAATATCACATTCACATTTTTGCCTGGGTATTTTACAGTTCTTGTCCAAGAAATGACTTTGGTGATGGGGTTCAAAGATAAACCCATAGAACCTATAGTTTTTACACCTCCAACAGGCTATAGCCCTTTTGAAATAGGAGGGGAGGAGGGAGGGGAATTATGGTTTACACTTTTCACGTTCACAATTCCCAGTGCACTTTAGAATAATGGGTAAATTTCTATCATCTCTAACAGAGTACTAGATTTTCTTTCAAAAACAGAAAAATTACCAAATTTGACTCTCTAATTGTGTCTAAATACCCAACCAGATTGATCTGTCAATTCAGAGAAAAGAGATAATCAATTCTATTTTTTTCATATCTTTCCAAACAACTGTTTCACTCAGCCAGTTGAATTAAAATGGCCAAACCAGTTAGTATGGAGCTATATACTCACTGACTAAATGCAGGATCTTAACATTTTTTGAAAGGATAATCTATTATTCCTCTAGCCTACTACATGTTTACTCATGTAAAGATGAGTTTACAGTGTTAGAGTGGGCAATATACATGATATATTTCTCTAAGTAGGCTAAAAAAGAAAAATGAAAAGGAGAAAAGCAAGGGGGAGTGTGAAGTTCAAATTTAGGGAAGTGAAAGGAATCCCATTTTCCTTTCACTGGGTTCTAACAAAATTTTTGAGAGGGAAAAATACAGCAACAGTATATAATACCAACTTCAGCATTTTCACATAATGATGAGACTTTCTGTTTAGACACTATTGATCCATTAAATGTTGGTTGACACTACCATGCTTAATTAAGAATAGTTTATGTCAGAGAATTCTTTAACTAGTCAATGAACTAAAGAGAGTTATTAATTTAGAACTGAAGAACATGCACTACTGTGGGACACTGGATCATGTACATGTTAAACACACTATTACATATTTTCCTTTATCAGACAAATCCACTCTAAGTCCTTGAAATAAAATCTCTACCTAATACAACATTTTCCCCAAATTTCAAAATGAATCCTTGTTATCTAATAATTTGTCTCCCATATTCCCAAAATAGTTACAGCATACCTTAATGGGAGAAATATGGAAATGTTCAAAGAAATTGAGACTTGATATGTCTGTCATGGATGTTTCCATTAATTCAGTGTTTAGAGCATCAATATCTTGCTGGATTAATTTAGTCTAGAAGAAATGAAATCATTAACAGAAAATCTTAATTATATTTTCTTTTTTAAAAAATCCATTCAATAAAAACATCTAATTTTGATTACTTAACACTCCATATTTTTCTAAGAGACAAAAGTGAAATTCTATGAGACTCTCAATGAAAAAATATGATTTACTCTTTTCCTTTCAGCTTCAGGATCAGTGGCTGGTGTGAAAAATGCAAGAATTGCACCTAAGAATCCTTGGTCAATTTTCAAAGCCATTTCCTGGATGAGAACCATAAAATACCTAGAAAAAAATAATAGATATTAATGGTAAATAATAACTTTTCCCATAAACACAACGATTGTACTACCATACTTTCAGCAATAGTTAAAGAGAACGACTAGAATCAAAAACTAACACTAATAGATCACAGCAAGCTTTACTCCATTCCCTCATTTGATTTTCACAACAGTCCTGTAAGGCAGGTACTAATTACATCTCTAGATGTAGATCTCATTTCTATTCAAAGAAAATGAAGCCCCAAGAAGGAAAGTGACTTATCAGTCCTAGGTCAATGATTTCTCGTTTTCTAGTCAAAGGCCACAGCAAAAGACTGCTACTTCATCTACTAAAAACTCTTTTATTAGGAGGTTAATGGGGTCCATGCGCATGTGAAATGATCCATTAGAAAACTATCATTAGTACTACAGTTTAAACACTTATGCCATTACTCAATTCTCTATAAAAATCAGACCTAGATGGCTGACAACTCATTTCTCACTAGGAATACAAATACAAACAAAAATAAAGACAGCTCCTGCCCTCAAGGAACTTACATTCTAATGAAGGAAGACAATACATAAAAAGAGAGGTGAGTAGAGAGAAGGTACCCACATGACAGTAAAGTCTGAGGAATGATGAAGGAAGCATAAAGGCCCTTGCCCACAAGGAAGAGGAAACAAGAGATGGCCAGCTTTTAAGAGTCGTAGGTTAAAGCCCTGCCTCTGGCATAGAGTAGCTCTATGAACATGGAAAAGTCAATGCACCTTTCAGTGCTCAAAGCAACTCTCTAAAATTATAAACTACAGACAAGATGCCAGTCTGTTTCAGTATACAGTTTCCACACTTCAAGTTTCCTATATCAATGCAAGTAGAGGTCCAAAACAAAAAATCATCATCATCATCATCAGAAAGTAGATTATCACACTCAAACAGGAAAAAAAAAAGATTTTATATTACAAATCAGTTTCTCAAGAAGTTTACCTTGACTTTATCAGAATGCTAGTAGCAATACAAGTGGAGACACATGCTAAAACTTCCTTACTTTACTTACTTGAATTGCAGCACTTTACTATACTCATTAAATCTTGTGATGATGCTAATATCAATAAATGGCCTGGGCTCTGAAAGGTAAAAAAGAGAAAATAATTGGTCTCTATACAAAAAAGTTAATATTTACTACCTCTGATAAACAGACATGCTTCAAATTAACTTTCACTTTTTCTCTACCTGAATCCAAAGCAATGGACTTTGGAGGGGCTACAGGATGAAATGCAACTGGGAACATTGAACCTGGTAACTGGTTATCAACCTAAAAGAAAAGGAAAGACAAAGGGGATTCAAATAAAAAAATATCCTTAAGGAATTTTCTGCTTTCATTTTGTCTTTATAATTTTTTTATTCTTATCTTCTACTTTTATAATACTTTTATTTTCTAATATAATCTTTTTTCTCTCTCCCCTAACTAGAGAAGCATCCCACATAATAACAAGAAAGAAGAGGCAAAAAAATGAAGTTCTGGAAAACCAACCAATTAGGAAAGATATGTAATTCACTACAACCCATATTTACCCACAAAGGTGAATTTTCTCATACCTTACTGAGGGGTAAACTTGGTAATTATAATTACAGTATTTCAATTTTTTTTCTTTCTATTTACATTATTCTTGTCATTGTATATACTGTTTCCAAGTTCTGTTTATTTATATACCATATCTGATCATTTATCATTCTTCTAAATATTCTTTATATTTATCTTTTACAATGCAGCAATATTAACTGACATTTCTGTACCACAATTTGTTTAGCTATTTCCCAATCAATGGGTATTTTCTTTTTTCCCATTTCTTTGCTACTATAAATATTTTGCTGTATATGAAACAGCTTAATTCTTGAGTTCAAGATATACTAAAATGAAGACATTGTTTTAAAAAGTCACAAATTATATCATTCTAAAGTTTATACATTCACAATATGACACCGTGACAAATACGAAGTAACACAGATACGATACCTAAATTAATAACTTGAGCAAAAGAGAGGATACAAAAAGGACAAAGAAAAAATATATGCCACTACACAAGCAATGTCAGGATTTACACACAGGCATTAATACAAATCTTTGTAGCTACATACCACATGGCCACTCTAACAGTAATAAATTTATTGGGTTACACTGGAAATTTCATGTCACATTAAACAAGGAGCATCAAGGAAAAAACTGACTTATTTCCAGAGAAAATAATGAAAATCTCTCATTATAAGTTAAAAACAAATGGACAGTGGAAACTCAATTTATTCAACCTGGGAAAGAGTCATAAACTGCATACGTAACTAAGAACTTCCCTGAGAAAAGGGTAGTGAGTCATGAGAATGCTGCCTCTCTATCTGGGAATAATTTCACGTGCCAAAGAGTTGTCATTGTTTTTAAAATAAAGTGTTAAAAAAAAAAACAACCCAAGACTTAAACAGTATGTTTTCAAAAAGTTTGATCCCTTCTTATAAGTGATTAAGAAAATATTAAAATGTCTTATTTTAAAATCATTTACTAGACACTTCAAACTCAACATATTTTATATCATCACATAAAACATTCTTTCTGGCAAACTGGAAAGTCTGGCCAAAATGAAGAATTCCAGTTCTTCTGCATTAATATGTATCAGTCAGGAGGTAAATAGATAAAATACATTTCTATACCTACTAGAAAGAGTTCTCTAACAACGTTGAGAAACTCAAAAAAATGCAGACACACAATCAAACCTCAAGTTAAAATTATAATCTCATTCTTAAAATTTGACTAATGACTTTATTCAGGTTCATTTTTTGAAACTAAAGATAAAAAAAATATTACCTGAATCCAGTACAACTGAGCCCGTAGACTTCTTTGGTGAGGAGACTGCTTAAATTCAACATGGATACCTGATAAGAAGTCTCGCTTAATACTACACCGGATTGGGACTCGCATTTCCATTGGGGATTTACTAAAATTAACCTAAAATGGAAAAAAGTTTATCAATATCTGAATGATATTTTTGATCTACAAGTACTGGATTTACATAAATTCTCCTACAGTAAGGGCAAAAGCACCATTTAAGGAACAGATAGCATCATTATAACAGGATACTTAGTATTTTTTTAGTATTTTTTTAATCAATGGGAAAAATATAAACATATATGTGTATACATACATACACATACATAGCCCTTATCTCATCAGAACTGTTGTAATCATTTAAAATGTTTTTTTTTTATATTTTTGTTGTTATTAATCTCCATCCACATTGACCTTAAGGTCAACAACTTGATTTTTTAAAAGTATGATATTTTTCTATTAAACACAAGGGAATGACAACTGGCAGCCTGTTCACTTAAGGAAAGTACTTATACATAGCATCAAGCTATATCAATAGGAAATAATTCTCCTGATGTTCAAATCTTATATACACTTTATTTTTACTGTGTCTACTGAATTAACCATACAGGTATTTATTCAATTTTCCAACTAGTAAAAAAAAAAATTAGTTCAACCAACACTAAGTACCTGGGGTAGCTAGGTGGTGCAGTGGATAGAGTGCCAGGCCTGAAGTCAGGAAGATTCATCTCCCTGAGTTCAAATCTGGCCTCAGACACTTACTAGATGTGGGACCCTGGGCAAGTTACTTAATCCTGTCTGCCTCAGTTTTCTAATCTGTAAAATGAGCTGGAGAAGGAAATGGCAAACCTTTCCAGTATCTTTGCCAAGAAAACCTCAAAGAGGGTCATGAAGAGTCAGAGAGGACTGAAAGGAATAAACAACAACAATTAAGTTCTACTATATATAAAAGTGTTCCATGCTGGGAATAAAAAAAAAATTTAGTATATTTCCTCAAGGAACCAATCATAATTGGTCTTATGAGAGAGGAGTGACTGCATATACAATAAGTATAATTAAAAGCACAATGTCCTAAGTACAAATTAGGGAGGCAAACAAAAGGTTTTGACAAGGCTGAGGAGGTAGAAATTAGATCTTTAGGAAAACATGAAAACAGAGAGTCATCTGAAAAAATATGAGAATTGAAAACTTGGGTATAGATGAGTATGCCAAAAGAGAGAGCAGCGAGAGGGAAGAAGTACCTTGATTGAGCTTTGGGAAAAGAGAATTACTCACCCTAGAAGGGCTAAAATTTGCTTGCCTGACCTGAATTCTCACTTTCAGCTACAAATGGACAGCAGAAACTGAAACTTCAATCTAGGAATAAGTCAAAAACTGTGTTCATGTAGCTGAAGATTTCTCTAATCAAATGGCAATAGGTCATATAAACACTACTTCTCTGCCTTAGAATACTTTTCACGTACCAAAGAGTCTTCCTGACTCCAGGCCCAGCACTCTATCCACTGAGCCACCTGGCTGCCTCCGAATAAAAGGGGCTAGGTGGAACAATGGATAGAGTACCAGTCCTAGAGTCAGGAAGACTCATCTTTCTGAGTTCAAATCTGGCCTTAGATACTTACTAGCTGTGTGACCCAGTGTGACACTTAACCATGTTGGCCTCAGTTTCCTCACCTATACAATGGGAAGGAGAAGGAAATAGCAAACCACTCCAGGATCTTTGCCAAGAAAACCCCAAATGGGGTCAAGAAGAAGACACAACTGAAAAAGGACTGAACAACAACAACACTAAATAATGTCAGATGGCTAATGAGTGTGTGTTTATGTCTTTTTTCCTATATAACAAAGCTGTATCTGATCTATGCATTAGAAACTGAGACTAAGAGGTAGAGGTGAGGAGAGAGTACATTTCAGCATGGAACACAACCCTTGCAAAGGCACAGAATCAGGAAATGAAATGCCATGTGCAAGTTATAGGAAGAAAGTCAGTTTGGCCAGAATATAGTGTGTATAAAAAGGAGTAATGATGGAAAGGTATGTTGGAATTAGATCAAGAAGGGTTTTAAATGCCAAACAGGAGTTTGTACTTGATAGCAGAGGCATTTAGGAGCCACTAGAGCTCGATGAATAGGGAAATAACCTGGTCAGACTTGTGCTTTAGGAATGTCCTTATAGCGGCCATGGTAGATTGGAGAGGGGAGAAATTTGAGGCAAGGAGACAAATTAGGAAACTATTACAGTAGCCCAGGAAGAGGTGATAAAGGCCTGAACTCTCACCTGTGGCTCCAAGAAGCTGTAGTATACACAGTAACCACACCCTGGTAAATCGTCTCAGCAAATGAATAAACCAGATTAAGAGTAACTGATAAGCCTCAAACCCATCCATGAGTTTGGAGTATTTCTACAAGCATGTGAAGACTTTCCCTGGCAGAATAGGCTGATGAGAAGAATTTGTTCCAACAGCCATGAAAGCAACTGAAGCAGGCGCTATGAGGTGCTTAGAGCTTGGTCAGGCACCAAAGATGCCAAGGTCATCTTGACTATTGTCCTGTTACTTGACTTCAATGACCCAGGAAGAGAAAGTGAGGCTGATGACTTTGTGTAACTCTGCTTCACTTTAATCCAATTCTTACACAAGTCAAGATATCACCTTGTGATGTCATTTGTCCTCTTCAAAAATTAAGGATGAACAACAATAGTTCAGATGAGCCGCTGCTTTTACTTCTACTTGACACATGTAGCACTTATGTATACCACAACTAATTTCAATTTCTAGAATCACACGCTTTTCAATTCAGAAAGGATTTTAAGTCATTTTGTACAAGCCCCTCATTTTACAGTTGAAGAAACTGAGTACAAGTTGTCAGGACTTGCCCAAAGTAGTTAAATGGCAGAGGTAATATTTGAACTCAGGTCCTCTGATGTCAGATTAAGTGCTGTCTCTTATTGCATCATCAAAATCTTCTTAAAAATTCTTGAAAATCTCCCATGAAGTCGTAACATAAAAGGACACTGTTACAACTAAAATAACTGATTACAATAACTTAAAAGGAAAAAAAACACAGTATTTGTAAATTTTTGAATGAAATTGGTTCAGTGCATATATGTCAAGTATTGTAATTCATAATTATTTGAATCTTTCTTAGTGGTATTTTGATTCTTATCAACCCTACTGAAAAATAGCATATACATAATTTTGTTTGACATTAATATCACAAAATAAAATTAACTATACCTCAAGATTGCCATCTAGTTTAATCCATTCATGCTCATTTGACCGAAGATACTTCTGATAGGCCTGTTCCAAAATAATTATTTGCTTTTGACTAAAAGGTTTCCACTTCCGTTTTGGTTTCATCTCCCAAACAACATCAGAGCTAGAAGAATTCAATAATAAAATTTACTTTAATAATATACATATCTAAACATGCTAAAACATTTACACAAAATTTTCATCCATCTCTAGAATATTGTGATAGCAATTTATTCTCAAGAATATATACATTTCAGAGCAGCTAGGTGGTAAAGTGGATAGAGCGTCGACCCTAGAGTCAGGAGATCCTGAGTTCAAATCTGGCCTCAGACATATAACACTTACTAGCTGTGTGAATCTGAGCAAGTCACTTAACCTCAATTGTCTCACCAAAAAATAATAAAAAATTAAATTAAAAAAAATTTTTAAAAGAATATATACATTTCAGAGATTTTAATAAATATTAAGATAAAATATGTTTTAACATAACTATTTTTCAAAGGATTCAAAAAAACAAAAGTTCCTCTAAAACAGGGGTACTTAGATTTTTTAATGTGTTATGGCAGTCTTATAACTTCTCAGAAAAATATTTTCAAATATTCATATGGTATTTTAGGGAAACCAATTATACAGAAATATAGTTATCCAAATATTGAAATAAACTCACAGACTGCAGCTTAACAACTTCTATACTAAAACATTTGCTGAATATTTAATACAGGATGCTGACTTCACATATAAAGACACATAAGAAAAAATAAGTTTTCACTTATATAACTGGTAGGTATTTAGTTACTTGTAGAGCTAACAAGGCTCTAAGAATACTTAGGGAACAACATTCAATTAAGACAGGATTTAAATGATATGATGAGAAAAAAATGATACAATGAACTAATAGTTTGTTTTTCTTTATTTTAAGAATAATAAGGAAAGATGGTTACATAGAATACATGAAAATCAATTTAAAAAATATTGCCTTTCCATCCCGCATATTTTCTTATGCAAGACCAAAAGGTAATTCTTTACATAGAACTCACATTGGCAGTCATTTCAAACTGAGTTTCTACAAAAGTACTGAGCAAGACAAAAAAACAAAAGGAGCTTTAAAAGTAAAATCTTTGTTAAATTTATGGCATGAACAAGACTTGCATTTTTGTAAGGTCCAAACTCACGCAATTATATACTTTATATAATTATAATATAATATAATATAATTTAATTATAATATAATCTTAATATATCTAGTAAAAGAATCAGTATGGTTGATTATATCTTTATGTTTTTCAGATAGCAACTCACTCCTAAAATAGTTTACTGAATTCAAGCAGGTTTAAAAAATAAGCAAAATCATTTTTTTGTGTGAGAGGGAACTTGACACAATGTAAAGCTGGGCTTAGAACCTGGAGGACTTGGGTTCAAGTCACACTCTAAGACATACTGCCGTGTAACCCTGGTCACAGAACCGTGCCTCCTGGTGCTTTTAGTAACTCATGCTGTCTTGACTGGTACCAGGAGTCTCTTCACCTAGCAGTTCTCTATGCCATGAAATCTCAAGTTTAGTCCCTATGTCCCAAGCCTTATTTTTCTATGTGGAGCTATTGACTTAGAGATCTAAAAGAAGTAACTTACACCATCACTCATAAATCTCTCAAGGATTATAGGTTAAGGGATTTAAAATTCGGAAAAAATTGTCTCCAAACATAACTGACAGATTATGTTAAATATTTCCAACTCAACAACTTTTAATAATTTTTTTCTTCCTTCCATACCTAGTTATCCCAATATAAGAGATTTCCTGCTTCTTTTCATTGTTAACTAGTGAAAGTCCAAGACTATGAAGCGACACATTTATTTCTTGATCAGCCTGCTCCATTTCTTCTGCTTGACGTGCTTTGGAAACCAATGCAACATCATCAGTAAAAAGCAGTACTCTCTGGCGTCCATCCAGGAATGATACCCAGTGTATCTGAATATTTGCATCGTACGGGAATTGTCCACATTCATCCTAAGATAACAGAAAAAATTCATTGAAAAATATATGTATTTAATATATAATGACTAAAGTAATTGAGGAATAATAATAATAACTGACATTAGTATAGTACGTCAATGTTTATTAAGCAACTTTATATGCATTACTTCATGAGATCATCACAACCATTCAGGGCAGTAGATACTATTATCCACATCTTGCAGATTAGCCAACAGTGGCTGAGGAGGTAAGTCACTTGACAATCACATAACTAGTTTATTTAAGAAGCAGGATTTGAACCTAATTCTCTCTTGACCCCAAGTACTACACTCTTTCCAATGTATCACAATTGTATCACTATGGAAAGTTTCCATTATCAATAATGGAATAAATTAGGCAAAGCTATATTGCTTTTAAAATTATACTAGTAGATTTCCTATAAAATACCACTCTATAGGAATAGCATTTTACTTATCAAAGTACTTTCATGTTCATCATCTCTTTTTCAGCCTCGTAAAAACCAAGTGAAACTGAGGAAAAAAGGAATATTGTCTCCCCTTTATAGTGGAGGAAAGTTTAACAAAGTCACCTAAGTAATTAGTGTGTAAAAGCACATAAAACGAGGAGCAGTAACTGATGTGGACAGCTCACAACAGCACCTATGACAAAGGATTTTGTACACTGTTCTTACTGTGATATTTATAGACCTAAGGTAATGGTGGGAAATATGGTGGGAAATCAATATGAGAAATGATTTCAAAAATAACTTCATTCTAATCTATTATGGTTCATTTATATGACACTGCAATCAATCAAAATAACCATATTTCTTTTAAGCATACTGCCATGTAAATGGTCTTTGATGATAAGCTTGACCTAATAACTTATTTAAAAACCTTCTACTGCTATGCACAGAAATTTTGTTTTAGTTTTTGTGTAAGTTTCAAAATAAAGTTTAAAAGACAGTACTTCATTTCTTCAGTACTATATAACAAAGAAATTAAGACACACATGAGTCCACATATCAAATGTATTCAATTCGAGATACATGTTAAGAAATACAAACTAGAGTAAATGGCAGAAGAGGGAAATCATAATGGTAAAGGATCTGAATCATAAGAAGGTAGAAATATTGAAGAAATTGAGATGTTTAGCCTGAGGGGAAGGGAATAAGCATTTATTAAGTGCCTACTACATGCCAGGTATTGTGCTTAGTGCTTTACAAATATAACTTCATTTGATCCTTACATAACAATCCTGGGAAACAGGTACTATCATTATTCCCACTTCATAGAGGCACAGGTTAAGTGACTTGACCAGGTTCACAAAGCTAGTCAGTGTCTAAGGCTAGATTTCAATTCAGGTCCTTCAAACTCTGGGCCCAGTGCTTTATCCACTATAGCACCCACCTGCTTCTCGGCCATTAGAAGGAAAGAAATACTGGGAAGAGACATGAGAGCTGTCTTCAACTATCTGGAGGGCTGCTGTGTGTGACAGAAATTAACCACTGCTCCACAGGTCAGGACATGAAGTGGGAAAAAATATTTCAATAACAGATGTCCAGCAAAGGAATGAGTTACCTACCAAAGTAGGAACACTCATTCTCATTACTAAAAACATTTAAGCATAAATTGGATGACAAATTTTCAAAGATTTTGTAGATGGGATTTCTGTATTAGCTGAAAGGCTGAACAATGACTTAACTTTTAAGGTTTCTATTAACTTGAGAAATCCATGAAAAACTTCTGACGTTTATCTTTATGGAGGTGTCAAATGCAAACTATTAGAGATGTATACAGCTTTGACTATTAAAGAATCAAAAAAAAAATTAAAAAATTTTTAAAAATCCACCAAGGAGGCAACATGGTGCAGTTTCAATAGTGCTGAATTTGAATGGCAGGGGGCCTAGGTTCAAATCCTCAGCCACTTATCACCTATGTAAACTCAGAGAAGTCACTCAACCTCCTCAGGCCTTAGTTTTCTCATCTATACAACAAGAACATTGGACCAGATGACTTTTAAGGTACCAAACCTAGGCTGTTCTGATCCTGTGAACCTCAGAGCCAAACAAACCCTGACTGTGTGTGGGCAAGGTCTAACTCAAGTCAGCACCCCTAGAACATAGGTCTGAAACCAGAAATGAAATAAGACACTTGTAGTCTGTCTAATAATTAACAAAAGGAGATTTACTTAGCCATTTACTTAGAAAGACATTCAGAGTACAAAAGAGATATTCAACCAGGATATAGTCTTGATTCCGCTAAGAATAGTTCTCTTGTGTTGGTATTGGTCACTGTATCACTCAACAGCCTGAGCCTTAGCCCCTTAACACAATTCATTTTTGAAGGCAGTTTCAACAACTTTTAAGAAAATATTATCTTGCATGGAAAAGAAAGGAAGGAGTCTTAAGAATATGCTTATATTACACACCTTTCTATTTAATCAAATTTTTTCACAGTCTTAAAAATATCTCTAACATGCCACTCTATCCCAAATTTCTCTTAATCTGCAGACACAAGACTAAAGGGCTAAACTAATTTTTTATCTTCAATTTTAAATACAATAGTTTTAGTCCAAATGGAAATATTCTTCACATGAACCAAAGTATTCACATAGTATCATATGGCAAGAAAGACCTTTGTGTAGTCACCCTGACTAATTTCTTCACATCCAAAAATGGTTATATTTAATAGCATACATTTCTTTTTAAGCTATACCTTTAAAAGACCATGTTCTCCCACATTTTCTGCATATTTCCATGTTAGTTTTTTGGTACCAGTAGGATCTGCCCAAGCAAAGAGACGCACTTGTCTTGGTAGTAAGACCATTTCTTCCTGTAATCCACTAAAGTAAAAATGACAGAGTAGAGAGAAAGGAAAAATGATAAAATGAAAATGGAGAAACATGTAAAATGTATACTATTAATTCTAACTACAAGTAATTCCATATTTCAAGGCTTTTTTAATAACTCCTATTATATCATTAAGTGATATGCAAGTTTACATAAAATATTACAAGAAATGTAATATTCTCACAAGGTGCACTTAATAGATAATGAAACAAAAGGAAGAGATGTGTTTGAGTGAACAGGCATTAATTTGCAAAAGGAAATACAGATTATATCTACAAGAAACCTATATTTCCTACTAACGCTTTACATACCTCTGTTTATACTGAAGAATATCCCATGGGGTATGGTTAATGATCAGAGCAGGTGCTGATCCTCCATGGTAATCAGAGAAGGTTATCACAGTTGAATGCTCAGCAATGTTTACATCTACCAAGATACCTCCATTCTATCATAGGGAAGAAAAGCATGAGTAGTGTTTAAAATTAATATTTAAATTCAAAAAAAGTTTTCAAGGAAAAACTTTTATCATTTGCTTTAAAATAAAAACTTCCTTTTCTCAAATACTTGCCAGATTCTAATTTATACACCACCATTCAATGAGATTTTCTTAAACTGAATATCAGTAAATTTTTAAAAGTAGTACACCAGATTATCTTAAAATAATTTTAAAAATGAAGACAGTCTGACAAAAGGTCAAAACTTACCAGTTCTTCTAAGCTCAATAAAGTGCCATTGTCTTGTTGATTGTAAAAGAATGGCTTAGAGGATCCCTCACAGCCCACCACACGAACACAGAGTTTGCCTGACAAATTTTCAGGCCAAAATGGAAGACACTGAAAATAGAAAAAGTGGCTATTAGTCTGTTCACCCAGCAGTTTAGTCATAAAGAAGCTATGTTAGTTTCCTAAGATTTGGGATTTAGAAAAATGTCCCAACAATTACAACCAACCCAAAGTAGAATTAGATGTCTCAGAAGCTAATGAATTTGACTCCATTATAAATCTTTAAGCCAGGGATTTCTAACCTGGGACCCATGAAATATTTTTTAGTTGTTGATAAATGTATTTAAATATAATTCATTTCCTTTGTACTTTTATGTACTTCTATCTATATTTTTTATTCATTTAAAAACACGATTCTGAAAAGCAGTCCACACTTTTCACCAGACTACCAAAGAGGTTCATGACACACAGAACAGGTGAAGAACTTCTGCTCCAAGGAAAAGGCATGGTAACTGCTTTTAGGGAGATAATGTAGAGGAAGGCACCTGCATTACATCAGATAGTCCCTGAAGTTCTAAGACTGACTTATCGCACCTCCTTTACCAAGGCCAATCTCTCTGTTTGTAACTTGATTTTCGTCTTCAGCAGATCACTCTACTATTATCACTACCGTCTCTTTTATCTTCAATCTCTATCTACGAGCTCCTTCCCCACTGTGTGCAAATACACCCATGTGTCTACACAACCTTAGAAAGCCCTCATTTGATCAAAGCAACCACCACCCTACTAGCTATTATTTGAGATCTCTCCTCCCTTTCTAAAGAAAGCTGTCTACATTTGATACCTTTATTTCTCCTCTCACTTTCTTCTCTAAACCCTCTAAAATCTGGCTTCCAATCTCATGGTTTAAATGAAAATTCTTTCTCCACATTGTACACAGTAACAGCAACAATGTGCGACGATCAACTTTGACAGCTCTTCTCGGCAATGCGATGATCCAAGACAAATCCAAAAGACTCAGGATGGAAGATGCTATCCACATCCACAGAAAGAACTATGGAGTCTGAATGCAAATCGAAGCATACAATTTTCACTTCTCTTTTCCTTTCTCACAGTTTTCCCTCTTTGTTCTGAATCTTCTTTCACAACGCAACTAATGCGGAAATAAGTTTAATATGATTGTACACGCATAACACATATCAGATTGCTTGTTGTCTTAGGGAGGGGATCAAGGAGGGAGGGAGGTAGAAAAAAAAACTGGAACTCAAAATCCTATAAAAATGAATGTTGAAAACTATCTTTACATGTTAGTGGAAAAAATAAAATACTACTAAGTGAGGGGAAAAAAGGAATTTCTTTCTCCAAAGTTATCAATCATATTTTAATTGAAAATGTTATGTCCTTATTTTAATCCTCATCTATTTTGAACTCTCTTACTAGAGTTCTCTTACTAGACTTTCTCTTCCATTTACTTCTCCTACCTATCCACTTGTCAGCATCTTTTGCTAAATCTTCATCCATGCCATGCCCACTAAATCTGTATGTCCCCAAGGTACTGTCACTGACCCTCTTCTCTTTTCTGTCTATTCTATGTCACTTAGTGATCTCATCATCTCACTGCGGATGATTCTTAGATCTTTATATCCTACCATAGAGCCTCTCCTGTGTTCCAGCTTCACATCACCAAATGCCTATTGAACATCTCACAAACTATATGTCCCAGAGGCATCTCAAACTCAACATGTCCCAAATAGAACTCATTATCTTTCCCCAAAAATATATTTTTTTAATTTAATTTCTAATTTATGGAATAAAAACAAGCATTTCCATAACATAGTATAATAAAAAAAAAGATTGCACATGAAATTGCAAATCTACTGTGCACAATTTGCTATCTGTTTTAAATATATAATCAAGTTTCATATAAATTTCTTTTTTTTCTTGCCTCCTTCCCCCTCCCCCTACCCTAAAGATGGCTACCATTAGTCACAAATAGGTATATATATGTAAATTTATTCGACACATATTTTTATTTATCAGTTATTTCTCTGGATACAGATAGCTTCTTTCTTCATGTGACTTTTATGGTTAATTTGGGTATTTAGAATAGTCGAAATGACTTAATCACTCAAAGTTGTTCTTAAAACAATCTTGCTGTTACTATATACAATGTTCTCTTGGTTCTACTCATTTCGCTCTTCATTATTTCATGCAAGTCTTTCCATGTTTTTCTAAGATCATTGAGCTTATCATTTCTTATATCACAGTAGTATTCCATCACAATCATATACCACAACTTATTCATCCATTTTTCAATCGATGGGCATCCCTGCAAATTCCAGTTCTTTGCCACCACAAAGAGGGCTGCTATAAATATATTAAAACATATAGGTTCTTTTCCTTGTTCCCTAATCATCTTTGGAAACAGACCGAGTAGTGGCATTGCTAGGTCAAAGGGCATAAACAGTTTAATAACTCTTTGGGCATAATTCCAGATTGCTCTCCAAAATAGTTAGATCAGCTCACAATTCCACCAACAGTGAATTAGTGTCCCAATTTTTCCTTATCCCTTCCAACCCCTTTCACCCTCCCCTTCAATCATTTTAGCCAATTTGGTAGGTGTAAAATGTTATCTCAAGGTTCTTTTAATTTGCATTTCTCTAACTGATAATAATCTAGACTTCTAGAGCATTTCTTCATACGATTATAAATTATTTTGATTTCTTCCTTGGAAAACTAACTGTTTGTATCCTTTGATCCTTTATCAATTGGGGTATGACTCACATTCTTATAGATTTGACAAAGTTCTTTACCATATTTGAGATATGAGACCTTTATTTGAGAACTATCTATAAAACTTTTCCCCTTTCTGCTTTCCTTCTAATCTTGACTATATTTGTCTTATTTATACAAAAACTTCTTAATTTAATGTAATTTAAATTATCCATTTTATACCTAACTTTGTTCTCTATCTCTTGTTTATTCATAAATTGCTTGCCTATCCATAAGTCTGATAAGTAATATGTTCCATATTCTAATTTTCTTGTAATATCTCTCTTAATATCTAGGTCATGTCTCCATTTTGACCTTACCTCAGTAAACGGGGTAAGATACTGGTCTATGCCCAGTTTCTGTCATGCTGCTTTCCAATTTTCCCAAAAATTTTTATCAAACGCTGAATTCCTATCACAAAATCTGAAGTCTTTACACTTGTCAAATACAAGGTTATTATATTTATTTGCTCCTGTAAATAGTATATCTACTCTGTTCCATTGATCTACATTTCCATTTCTTAACCAGTACCAGATAGTTTTGATAATTACTACTTTATAATATAGTTTTAGATCTGTACTGTTAAACTTCATTAATTTATATTTTTTCATCAGTTCCTTTGATATTCTTAACTTTTTGGTCTTCCAAATGAATTGTTATTGTTTTTTCTAATTCAGTAAAATAATTTTTGGTAATTTAATTGGGATGGCATTGAATATATAATTAGTTTAGGTAAAATTGTCATTCTTATTAGATTGGTCCTGCCTACTCATTAACAATTAATAGTTCTCCAATTATTTAAATCTGATTTTATTTGCATAAAAATACACTCTTCACTTTCTAGACCGATTAAGAGAAACTGGTCAAACAATCCACATAGAAAATTGCAAATGGATAAAGAATGCCTATTTGATTTTTAACTCATGGAAAATACTTGTTTTAAAAATAAGTTTAATGGGGCAGCTAGGTGGCACACCCAGCCTTGGAGTCAGGAGGACCTGAGTTCAAATCCAGCCTCAGACACTGGACACTTACTAGCTGTGTGACCCTAGGCAAGTCACTTAATCCTCATTTCCTAACCAAAAGTTTAAGCACTTTAGAACTATGACCAAAGGGCTATAAAATTGTGCATATCCTTTGACCCAGAAATAAGCAACACCACTGCTAAGTCTATACCCCAAAGCGATCAAAGGAAAAGGAGAAAGACCTCTAGGTACACAGATATTTATAGCAGATTCTTTTTGTGGGCAAAGAACTGGAAACTGAGGTGATGCCCATCAATTGGGGAACAGTTGAACAAGTTATAGTGTATGAATGTGATGGAATACTACTGTCCTTTAAGAACTAATGAAGGGGATGGTTTCAGAGAAAGCTGGGAAAACTTATATGAACTGAAACAAAATGAAGTGAGCAGAACCAGGAGAAAAATAAACACAGTAAGAACAATATTATAAAGACAATCAACAGTGAAAGACTTAGCGACTCTGATCAATATGATCCACAACAGTTCCAAAGGACTTGTGAATATTATCCACCTTTAGAGAGAGAACTGATGAACTCCAAAGTACATTTTTTTCATTTTTTTTCTTTTTTTCCCTGAATATGGCTAATGTGAAAAATGTTTTACATGGTTTCATATGTATAATGGGTAGTGTATTTCTTGCCTTCTCAAAAGGTAGGAGAAGGAACAAAGGAAGGTAGAGAATTTGGAACTAAAAATAAAAATTTAATTTAAAAATTAAAAAGCTTGACTTAGCAGCTACTTTTATTTTATTTTACACTGAAATAAATGATATTGGATGTACATGAATCTGTTTCTAAACGTTCACTTATTTTTTTCTGAAACACCAAGTCCTATGCTAATTCTTAGCTTTATTATCTTTCTTAATATTCAAACAACACAAACTGTTCCTTTTATCTCCAAATCCTCCTCTCCCCCTTCCAGGTTCAGGTCAAGGTCTCTGTTCCTCCAGCCATTCCAGCCCATAGTGATTTTTTTCCCTTCTTTGAATTCCCCTGTACTTTCTTATTCTTGGTGAGTTCCTTTACTTCTCTGAGTTTCAGTGTCCTTCTCTGTTAAATAAGAGGATCTAAAAAGCTTTGATCATTTATACCTCACATCTTCATACTTCTTATATAGTACTGTACTGTTGAGATGTTTCATGGGTGTAAGTCTCATTCCCTTAATATGAATGCAGACACTACTTTTTCATTTCACCTATTGAGCATAGATGTTCAATACTTGTTCTTTAAATATCTGGTTAAATTATGTTGTGAGTGAATGTTATCAACATGTCTCATCTTTGAATATACACAGTTATAATATGAAAGGGAAAAAGCTTTTCTAAGTGATGGACTTTATATAGAAACCTGGTAAAAGAGTGTCATTATGGCCCTCAGAAGGCCAAAGAGAAAGGTATTTTCTACATATATGCCATTATTTATTAGAAAATAATTTACAATAATATTAATGAAATATTTTACCTCAGAAGAAGCAACATAGTTCCATTTATTTGTTGGTAATGAGCCATCAAATGCAATTTCTCCAACTTCTAATTCCATTGAAGACTTATTGGCAATGGTAAAGAAAGGAGTCAGAGTAACTATCCTTGTAAGATTAAAACTGCTCATTTTGATGCTAACTCCTACCTAGGGGAGGAAAAAAGATTAATATCACACTTCATCCTACCTATTTTAGCCAAACATGAATAACAAAAAAGGCATCTTTAGAATTAAAATAAAGACTTTAAAATGTTGACGATCTATTATCATTTTAATGCTGCAATTTTTTTTAATTAAGCATTTTTCTGCAATTAATGACCTTTCAAGAAGATCCAAAATATTGTACTTTCACTTTGACACCATTGGCAACCAATTCAAAAAGCATTTTTTAATTTCATTAATGCATTAACAGTAAATGAGTATATGTATAGATGAAAATAATTGTATTGAACTTTTCTATTATCTCTTTAATTTTCAAATACAGAGAATTGTTCAACTATTTGTAAAATCCATGACACACAATAATATAGTATTATCATTAAGTAATTCCAATACAATATCAAAACAGTTGCTAGGTTCAACTGATACATTTTGTATATACAGCCAACTCTGGGAATAAATTTAATAAATATTAAAGATGGTGTTTTCTTTTTCTAACCCCATATTACTATAGGAAAAAATTCAAGGTATTTCAGATATTAAAAAAAAATCATTTTAAAGAGGCAAAAGAACTTGAACAGTCCAATCACAACACCCTGAAAATTGACCAATGCAGCCAGTAACTTAAATTTTAAAAGGCAAAGACATGTCCAGAGATTAGGGTAATTCACATAAAATACCAGATTTCTGATTCTCAGGATATCAAGTTTACTTGATATAAAATATCTGTATATTCTATTATTTATTATATTATAATATTGATATATCATAGCTGTATATTATTTACTTGATATAAAATATCAAATACTGTCAGGAACAGCTTGGATTACTATTACTGTGGTAAATATGAACACCAGATAAGATTAATAAACAAGCAGCATCTTACCAGATATTCCATATTATTGGCAGGACATTTTACACAACCATAGCTTCCTACTGTGTCCAGTGAGAAACTACTGGACCAAGCACTAGTTGAAATTCTTAATTGAACCTGCACCAGAGAATATATATCATATTATTTAAAATTGGTTGACAGTGTATCAATTTTAGTTGGTGAAATGTTGTTAAGCATTTCTCCTTGTTACCCTAGAACACAGTGAATCTGTGGACCTAAGACAAAATAAAAAAATAAACAACAAAGTCAAATAAAATTAGGCCCTGGGAAATTCTCCAACTTGGACAAATAATAGAAAACTTCTAAACTTCACTTTCCTCATTTGTAAATAATACCTATATGAAGAACCAACTTACAAGGCTGACATGAGGATAAAGTCAGAGTATATAAAGTTTTTTTGCAAAACTTAAGTGCCATGTAAGCACATCTAAAGTCAGCTGACATAGAAACCAAGGTTGGTGAACTGAATTTCCCAGCGTGGGAGGAATCTGAGATGAAGCTGCCAAGGAAACCACAATCAGAGTGGAAGGAGTCAGGAAGTGAGTGATAAAGAAAATAAGGAAGGGGTGAGAGTGGAGGAAGGGAGAAACTGAAATTACCGAAGATTTCAGGGGAAAAAAAAATCTCAAAGACCTTGAAAATAGCTTTCAGATGGAGTAAACAAAATCAGACCTTTATGAAAAGTGCAAAATGAAGGGAAATGATTCAACATTTGATGAGACAGAAGACTCTATGGAACTTGTGGAGAACACGGAACAATAACATGTTGTTCCAAGTGGTTTAAAAGAGAAATGAGAATTATGAGAGCAGAATTGATGACCTGCACAGCAAAAATAATGAACAGAATAGGCAAGCCTCCAAAGGCAAGTCTCATCAAAGAAACAAAAGAACAACAGTTAGGGAATTCAAATACATAGAAATAAAGGACAACCTAGAAGAAAACAAGAAAAACTCCCCCAAAATCCCAAAATATAAATAAATCTTAACACCACAATGTAGGATATAATAAAAAAGAACTGTCTGGAACTTCTGAACATAGTAAATGAAATCTCAATGGAAAGAATTCACAGATGACCTCCAGGAAAAAAACAAAAACAAAAGCAAAAAACCCAAGGCTAAAAACTGCAAGACACATAGTGGTTAAATTTAACAATTCAATTCAGAAGCAATAAATTCTTCAAGCAAGAAAGACTATCAAATACAAAGGAAGGGACATTCAAATTATGCAAGACTATTTTTCATCCATTAGAAAAAGAAACAGGGAATGGAATGTGTCCTGAAAAGAACTGGAATTCGGGATGCACCCCAGCATGATCTATAGTGCATGTCTAAGCTTAACCACAGAGGATAAAAGATGGACATTCAGTAACAAAGAAGAGTTTGAAACATATTTTAGAAGAAAAACAGAACTGAAGAAATTATTTGTTTTCTAAACACTCCAATCAACAGAACTACAGGAGTGAATAAATGCAGAAGCAACAGAGTAACAACAGAAAGACCAGTAAGAGACTTCTTTCTAAAAACAGGAGGCAGCAGTGAAGGTGGAAATTTGGTAGAAGTAACAGTGAAAAGGTGGACAAGGGGCTTTATGGAAGAACCTGGACACATCCTGCCTATAGGTGAATGCTTCTGTTGTGGGACTACATTACAACACAAGATGGTACATTAAAGGGGAAGGGGGAAGAGGGAGATAGAGAAGACTGAGTGTTGTGCCAGGGTCAAATCTAGGACTAACAATAAGGGTAAAGTGACCTTTGTGATCTCAGAAAGAGAAGAATCTACAGTGGAGTGGGTGAGATGGAGGGTGGAAAGATTAAAAAGGGAAATGAGAAGGAAGGAGGCCTTCCTTGAGAGTTAGAAAGGGGTTCCACTGAAGAACACTCCTTTGGATGAAGGGAAATGAGGACCTTACACTGGATAAGACATGGAGGACTTGGTGCCTGAAAAATCTACTTGCCAGGTAAAGGGGGAGCTGGAACCCCTAGGGACAAATGGTACTGGGAGAAGTGGGAGAGTATGGACACAATAAGATTTCCGGTGAAAAAAAGTCAATTAGAGAGGGAGGCACAATGGAAAAGGGGAATCCATAAGCTAAGTCCAACAAAGAATTGGCAATAAGCAGCTAGAGGGCAGAGCCTAGAATGAATACCTTGGAAGCTTTGATTGTATAAAGAATACAGAGAAGAGAGAGACCAGAGATTATAAGGGTCATGAATCCAAGAGTCTAGAGGAAACTGAAAGAGAAGATGGACAATGAAGAGAGTGAAAGAAATCCTTTTTGGGAAGGGGTACCAAAAAAAATTAGTTTTTAAAAAACTAATGTACTAACTGAAGGGAAGGAAAGGAAGGGGGAATCTACTTGACTGTAAGGAAAAAAGAAGGGGGAAATATATAACCAGATAAAAGCAGGAGAGAGGAACAAATAAGCAAAGCCCTAAAGGGAAAAAAGTAACAAACAAAAAGAGGGAATCAGATTAGAGGAAGAGAGTGAGTGGGAACAGGTCCACCTTAAAAAAAAATTAAAATAAAATAACTGAAGACATAATACTGTGTTTACAGCAAAAGAGGGGGAAATAATAACTTGAAAAAAAAACAATTTTAGAGACAGATGGAGGAAAATATAGACCGAATTTTTGTGACTTTAAATGTGAATCGATTAAATAATCCAATAAAAGTAGAGTAACAGATTAGATTAAAAAATTAAAGTCCTTACAAGAAACACATTTTAAAAACAAAAACAAACATAAAACAGTCAAGAGAAATACAAAAAGGTAAAAACACAAAAAACCAATCATAAGGGACTAAAGGGTAAATTGCTGACATTCAAATATGGGGAGATGATACATGTGTCCATTCTGAACCCTATTATTGGGATTAGAGAGAAAGTCTAATTAGATGAAGTCTAGGACTAGTTCCACTACATCTTTATGATCTTAGAAGGAGAATGGAAAAAGAGGAGAACAGGAATATCCTGGAAGGTAGGTCCAGGAGTTGAGGGAAGAGAAAGTAAGTTTAGGGAAAATTATCTCACAGAATATACACAATATAAACAAGAGGGTGGCAGGGAAGGTAGTGGTTGACATGAGCCTCACTCTCATCTAAAATGGCCAAAGGAAGGAAGAACACACGCACATGCACACAGATGCAGAAATATTTTCCACTCAAAAGAAGGATAGGAGGAAAATGGAGAAGGGGGCGTTAGAGGAAGGGTAGATCAATGGCGGGCTTAATCCTAATCAAAACAAATTTTAAAGATACACACAAATATTCATAGCTCTTTTTGGAAGTGGCAACGACTAGGAATTTGAGGTCATGGAAAGATGTGGATTGTAGTAGTTAAATGGATTTGGAACTGGTTGAATGGCTAGATCCAAAGAGTGAATATTCATTGACAGTCTGATGTCTACTTGGAAGGAAGTTGCAAAGGGAGTACACAAAGATCTATAATTAGCTCTCTGCTGTTTAACATTTCAAATAATGGCTTGGATAAAGGAATGGGAAGTATGCTTATCAAATCTGCAGATGACACAAATCTAAAAGGCATAGTTAATGCATTGGATAAGAGAATCAAGATCCAAAAAGATGTTGACTGACTATATCATTGTGCCAAAACCAATGAGATTAAATTTAATAGGGATAGCTGCAGTCTTAAGACTTGGCTCAAAAATTCAAGTTCACTAATATAATATGGGATAATGTAACTAGACAGAAGTTTGAAAAAAAAATGAGGGTTTTAGTAGGCTACAAGCTCAATCTCAATTGACATTATGATATGGCAGCCAAAAAGTTAATGAAATCTTAAATTGCACTATAAGAAGAGTACAGACTAGAGAGGTGACTATCAAGCTGTATGCAGCCCTGGCAAGTTCATATTTGGAAAATTATATTTAGTTACAGGCGCCACATTTTGAGAACCTGATAAACTTATGAATGCCTACTTAGCCAGGGCCTTGAGATCATCTTTCACATGGATCAAATGAAGGGACTAGGAAAGAGAAGACTTATGGGAGATATGAAAATTCTTTTCAAATATCTGAAGGGTTGTCCTATGAAAAAGGGAATAGACTTACTCTGCTTGGCTTTAGTCCAATTGATGAGAGTTTACCATCTATAGCAACCACGCAGACCCACTTCACTACACTGCAACCATCATCCAGCCACACCCTCTGAGCACATATTCTACCTCCTTATCTCTCCCATAAACATTCCTTCCCTTTTTTCACTTCTTGCTCTAGAAATAATAATCAAATTAGCACTATCATAATTGTCCCATGATAATTCCTGTCATCATTCATGTGATTTCTTAAATCAAAATACTCTTCACAGACTACCACTCCCCTATGAGTTACCACCCTCTAATAGGATATAAGCTTTCTGAGGGTAGGTATTATCTTTCTTTTTGTATTTGTAAGCACAGTGCTTAGCCCAGTGCCTGGCATACTGTAAGTGCTTAAGGAATATTTTTTTTTTATTCATTTAACTAAGAACAATGCTAGAAGATAAATAGAGGTAAGGAAAACCTTCTTAACACCTAGAATCATCCAAAATTGAAATGGGGTGCCTCAGAAAGAAGTGATTTCCCTATCATTAGAGCTCTTTAAGCCAAGAGGAGGAGGAGTTATCAGGTATAATACAGAGGGGGGATTCTTTTTGGGCCAGATGGCTTTTGAAGTCCCTTCTTATTTTAAAATTTTGTGATTCTATGGATGTGTCATCTGGAACCTGTGCTTATCATGTCATTTATTAACTAATATTGTCATTTATTAATCAATAATTTCTTAGTATGTGACTTTAACCACCTAGACCCCTAACTTTCTTGCTAGGTGGCAGATATCTGTTTTAAAGTCCCTTAACTAGCTGCTGTTCTTTGTCCCAGGCTAAGGATCTGTTTTACTACCTTGCTCAACCCATTGCGACACTAATTTCCATTTCAAAATGCAACGCAAAATATTCCAGGTCCTATGGCAAAATCTAATCAGTTCATGGGATGAATTTACCACCACCTAGCTACATAGGATTAAAAATCTTGCATTTCTGATGACCTTCAACATAGAAAGTTCTGTGGGATGGTGAAAAAAAAAAAACAGCTTCCTCCACAGCCCACCGGTTTTGACCATGGTACTCAATAACATATGTCTCAAAGACATATTCTAGCCCTAATTCCCACTGGGGCACAGAGCCAACAGGTAAGCATATGATTGGGAGGCTAAGTGATTCTCAAAGTCTCTATGTTACAACTGAGAATGTAATTATTATAATCTCTAACATCAATGAAAACATACCTTATTTTTACTAAAGATGTTCTTCTTCTTGAAAGAGAATAAAATAATGTCCCTATAGTCAGCTGGATGCTTCATATGGATATCCTCTGCACGATACTGGAGGACACGAGAGGTTTTATTGATGAGCCAGTAGGGACTAAAGACAGACAATATCATACGGCTGCCAATTCTCCTAACATGTATCGATAGGTCTACTGTCATCACTTCTGTGGAGTCCGATGTAAAACACACAAGAAAGAACTCAGGCAGTGCATTTTGTATACGAAAATGTCCATTCCAGTTTTTGCCCTGGTATTTCATCAAGACTAATTCCATTATTTCTCCATTTATTCTTGAATAAAGAACATCAGCAGTACTACCTTCTGATAGTTCATGAGTATCTGCGGTTCCCTAAAAAGAAAACATTTTTGGCTGTTACATACCAAAGATTATTAACCTGTAGTTATTTGCATAAAGGGGAAAAGCAAGAGTAATTAGCAAACAGAAAGAACAAAGAGCTGAGAATAGGATGGCTGAGTTGTAAACCTCTTTCTATCACTAACTACAGGAGATGTATGACTCAAAACATGTATTTTATTTAACAATACCTGAGTTTCCTGTTCTGCCAAAAAGGAATTATAACAGTAACTCTATTAACTTTGCTGTATTATATGAAGGACAAAATGAGATAACAAATAAGACAGTGCTTTAAAACTTAAAATGCAATAAAAAACAAGGTCACAGGATAGTGAATTGTATGTTTTATGTTTATATAAACATATATGTAAACATTCATATACACATATGAGAACAACAATAGTAATAATAGCTGTTAACATTTATAAAGTGCCTATTACGTTCGAGGCATTGTGCCAAATGCTTTACAAAGATTGTCTATTTGATCTTCACCACAACTCTGGAAGATAAGTGCTATTATTATCCCCATTTTACAGTTGAGGAAACCAAGGCAAAAAGAGGTTAAGTGACTTGCCTAAGGTCACACAGTTATTAAGTATCTGAGGGTGGATTTGAATTCAGGTCTTCCTAACTCCAAGCTTTGTGTTTTATCTACTACAACACATGGCTGATTATATATACACGTACACATACATATAGACAAATGATATGGAGAGATCATTCTCTTCCATTCTGCCTTGCATTCAGCTAAGAAAAAAATCAAGGAAAGAGGGCCATGAGTAACTGAAGAAGTATGGAATTAGAGGTGTGTCAACTGAAGTTAATAGCAGTAACAGACTGACATCCGTAGCAATAACTCCTGAAAAGTCTTCAACAGATAAACACATTTGGTTGTATTATTTTATGTATGTATGTATGCAGAAAAGTAGGAAGCGAAGTAGGAATAGACGAACAGAGCAACAGATAGATTGATAATTATCCTATATTATTAACTTATGTTAATGTCAGGCCTCGTACACTGCTGATATTTAAAACTGATTTCATCCTCATGTAACAATATTAGCCAAATAACATGTAAGAATCATACCTCAAGTAAATATCTTAAAGAATATGGAAGTAAATTCCTCAAAACTAGGGATGGATAAAGATGAATAATGTATGCTGGATCCCAATCTTCCCCATGAGTAGAAATATAACTTAATTCATCAGGAACAGCAACTGTGTTTACTATCAGTGGTAGGAAGTTGATTTCAGTTGATGGGCACTGCAGAATGCACCTGACTTCATTGCTTCTATGAAGCTCCTCCTTCCAAGAAATATAGGTCGTTGACTCTTTAAATTGACCCTTCAAGATTCCAGCTGGCTGAATAAACAATTGATATCTACAGAAAAGTAAAGAAGGGGAAAAAATTTTTAAAGAAATCAGAAACAAAAGATGTATCTTCTAAAACATTAGTAACTATGTAAAGTGATATGCAAATAAATGCACAATCAATGAAAACAAGTCTTAAAAAGAGACCTAGAAAATAACTTCAATGCCAAACATACATTAATTATTTTAATCTGGAAAATAAAATGCACAATAATAAGTATATACCAATAATTCATTTCTACAAGGAGAATAAACTTTATTTAAAGCTCATTAACTCTCAGTATAAAGTCAAATTTTGGAGCTGCATTCCTAGTCAGAAGAAATTAACCTAAAAATTATGAAGTTCAAAACATAAATTTTAAATTTCTATTTATTGAGAAATAATCTACCTGTATGAATCTAATGGAACATGGAATTCCTCGTCAGGTTTGGCTGTTCCGATGGGTTCCAGTAACTTAGCAGTCTTGACAAATTTATAGATAATAAATGGAATAGAGAAATGGTTCTTTATCTATGAAACAAAAAGACATACATATTAAATTCAACTTGTCTCTAATTACTGTTGCTTCCAAGAACGTTTACTGAAAAAAGAGAGCACTTTCTTGAAATTGAAAATATTAATACAAAGGAGGTGAAAAATATTAGACTATTCAAAATATCAAAATACCAATGTTATGGTCTGTCTTACCTTTCTAGTATTTATTCATTTTTAAGTGGTTATTAATATTTAAGAAAAATAGTTCCTTGTTCCCAATATCTTTATAGGCTTTTTCTCCCTTTCTATTAATTAGGAAGTTATTAAAACCACTCAGGAAAGAGATATTGAGAGTCATAACCAGAGTGATTGCAATGACGGTGGAAAAAAAGGGTACGAATGTGAGTGCAAAAACAAAATTAACAGGATTTAAAAAGTGACTGGATGTAATTGCGGTAGTGAAAAAGAGAAAAGAGAAACATGCCACTGAGCATTGCCTGGGCCACCAGGATGATGACATTGTTATCAAAAGAAACAGAAGAGATGGGAAGAGGAACCAGTGTTCAAGGAAGATTTTGGATATGCTGTTTGAAGTGTTAGAGGTAAAGATGTATAGACAGTTATAGATCAATCAATCAACATTTTTTAAGTTCCTATTATGTGTCAGTCCCTATGCTAAACACTGAGGATACAAAAAAAGGTAAAAGACAGCCCCTGTCCTCAAGGAGCTTACAATCTAATGGAGAAGACAACAAGCAAACAATACATACAAAGCAAGCTATATATAGGATAAGTAGGTAATAATTAACAGAGGGAAGACACTAGAATTTAGAAGTGTTGAGGAAGGCTTCCAGTAAAAGATGAGATTTTAACTAGGACTTAATGGAAGCCAGAGACGTCAGTAGGCAGAGCAGAGGAAGGAAAGCATTTCAGGAATGGGGTTCATGCCTGGAGAGCAGATGTAGAACTTGAACTCGGGAGATCTCAGAGCTGGATATGTATTACAAAGCCCTGAAAAGAGATGAGATCACTAAGAAAAAGCTGAAAAAGAGAAAAAAGAGAGAGAGAGAGAGATAAAGAAAGAGTTTTGAGGGACACTAATTATTAAAGGCTTGGGAAAGACGATGAACACAAGGGAATAAGAAGAGGAAGAAGAGACAGGACTATTGCGCAGATTTCTAAAAAATGAAGTAGTATAACCAGTACCTTTGTATTCTAAGATGCCACATCATATATCATTACTTTACATCTTTTCAAAAGGAAATGTTTACTTTTTTGGGGGGGGGGGCAAATGAGGTTAAGTGACTTGCCCAAGGTCACACAGCTAGTAAGTGTCAAGTGTTTGGTCTGAGGCCAGATTTGAACTCAGGTCCTCCTGACTTCAGGGTCAGTACTCTATCCACTGTGCCACTTAGCTGCCTCAAAATGCTTACTTATGATAATGCATAATGAATACCATGGATAATTTAGGAAAGAAGGTGAGGTGGAAAAAAAATTTTTTTTAAGTTTTCCCAATAGTAAGAAATTAGAAGCCATTATCTTAACACAGAAGTACTTCAAAACAACATAAAAGATGTAAAAAAAAAAAAACAATGCAACAACTTTTTGAGTGATTTCTTTCCAATATTCTCTTTTAGTTTCTTGAACAATGTACTCAAAAACTGAATACAAACAAAATGAAATTCCATACTACTACTTGTGTACCAACCTCCACTAAAAATACTACTCAGTTTTTGAGTCTTATGGTACAATAAGAACTCATTAAATTCTAAAACATAAAGGGCCTCAAAATGACCTTTAAAATTAACAGTTATATTAATAGATATTTTAAATAAAGAACAATAGAAGAGCAAGCTGCCTAGAGAATAAAAATTGCTTCAAAATGCCTGCTTAAAAAATAAACTAGGGCAACTAGGTGGCGCAGTGGATAGAGCACTAACCCTGGAGTCAGGAGACATGAGTTCAAATCTGGCCTCAGACACATAACACTTACTACCTGTGTGACTCTGGGCAAGTCACTTAACCCCAATTGCCTCTCCAAAAAAAATAAAAAATAAAAATAAACTAATGCTGACTTAGTGAAGTTTTAACTATGAAGTTTGCTATAAATATTTAATAAAGGGAAATAAATGTCAAGCTAAAGGGGCACAGACTAATCAATCAATCAACAGGCATTTATTAAGTGCCTACTATAGACCCAGTACTATGCTAGGCACTAGGGATACAAATAAAAAATATGAAACAATCCTTAATTTCAAGAAGCTGACATTGTATTAAAGGATATAGTGTGTACAGGTATTAGTATATACAAAATAATTATATGCACAAAAATACAACACAGTTATAAAAGAAAGGCACTAGCAAATTGGAATAAGGAAAAATCACTTTAAAGTCTCACCTGCAAAGAAGACCGAAGGGTAATCACTTTATTCCCTTCTGCTGCATCAATCTGTACCAAAGCCGAGTCAGAAAAATTCATACAGGGATTCCGTACATTATATAATCTTCGCCCAGGTCGTGTGATAGGAATATTTGCTATTTCTGTGTATCCATAAGGCACTAATATAAATAATTAAGATTTACGTAAGTAAAATGGCAAAAAAAAAGAAAAGGAAAATCAAAATTGATCATAATTTCAGTAAAGGAACAGAATTAAATCTCAAAAAATTAAATTTCTGTAGAGATGTACTTCATCAAGAATGTTTCTGGGACCCAGAAACTAAATAAAAAGTAGTCAATTCATAGCTATTTAATGATACTAAACCTTTTTCATTACAATAATCCTCATAATGTTATAATGTCATAATCCTCAAAATGTTAGAAGTAGCTCTTAATTTTACAAAAAGATCAAGGAAGAACATTTTCACTATTAATTATAACCATTTGATTTTAATAATAGCTCAAATTTTTAGTGCTTTAATATTTTAAAAGTACTTTTCATCTTACCACATCTCAGCCTTAAAATTCTATAAAATAAGCACATTATTATCCACATTTTAACAGATGAGGAAGCTGAGGTTCAGCAAGGTTCAGAGACTCCAATTTGCCGAGAATCACAAAAGTTATTAAGTGTCTGATGTACAACCTGAACCCAGGTCTTCCTAACTACAAGTCTAGGACTCTATCCCCTACTCCTGTCCTGAAAGGGGAAAAATGTTATTATGTTCCATATGACAACAGAGTGAGATAAAATTGTGGTATTCCTTTCCCATCAGTTTTGTTGATGTTTTATTTTGGTACTGTTTTCACTGTTTTGAGGTGATGCCAATAAGCTGTGCTTATTGCTTATTAGTTATGATGACTTACTCTAACATCTGCTAGAATTTGATTCTACAAACAAAAAGTATTTCTGTGATCTAATACTGAACTTTTTCAAGTTCAAGAAAGCAAAGTTGGGAGTTTGGTGTAAACTAAAAATATTAGTCTCAATTTCAAAGGATCTTAAAGCCTAGAACAAGTAATATCAAAAAAAAAGTCTTATTAGCATTACAGTTTAGCTATCATCCATCTACATTAATTAAAACAGAAGATAACTTTGCAATCAAATAAATATAACATACCAAAAGTCAGAGTGAAGAGAGAGCTTTCTTGACGGCTCAATACAGATAGTTTCCCTCGATTTAAGGGTTCTGAAGTGGAATACTCCAGTTCCAAAATCTGATCAACATCAACATCATAAATATCACCTTTTACAGATGAGCCCACTGTTCGGAGATTAGAATTAGGTTGCACCTTAATAGGAACACCTATTGCATTCTTCACTGTAAAAGGAGCCCTGTCTTTTAAAGAATAATCAAAAGTAGATGCAGTTCCCTCTGAAAATGCCTGAAATTTAAAAAAAAATATTAGTACAAATCTGAACAACATACAATACACAGTCTCTTACATTATATTCAGCAACAAAAGCTAATTTATCTATGGGAAAAGTATGACTACCTTTTTACATATTCATACTTTTCAAATAATTTACATTTTAAACAAATAGGTATACCTTTGATAAGTTGTTGAAGACTGTGAGGCAGCATTTGGATATTGTTATATTCATTGTATCTCTTGAAGAAATGTGAATTGCTGTTTGTGGCTCAGGAAGAAAAATAAAATCATCTCCTGGCATCAAACTTTTATCCTGGACTGGGTTATTCCTCAACTGTAAAAGGAAATAAAAATAATAACTATTGCAGTCTCATAAATTCAAGGAATTTTCAACATAATTAAGCATATTTATCCTTTGACATAAATACTCTACAAATATTGTATTTCTGTGTTGACACAAATCAGCCTTCTTTTAGCATACAGTTAATGAAAAAGGAAACCTTTCATAATTTGTCATGGAAGCACCAAGGTTATTTTTTCAAAGTCACCTAAACTACTTCTCTTACACACTCCCTAGAGCACAATTATTTATCTAGTGTTACGTGACTAATTGGTAATGATGTCTTAATGAGCAATCTAAAAGACAATAGGGCAAGGTAACTCAGAGGTCCAAAATGATTTTTTAAGAATGTACTAACCTGAAGTATATTTCTACTTTTCCTATAATTTTACCAGTTATACTTATAATTTTCATATTAGTCATCAGTTTCCAGTAGTTTATTATCAAAAATTTTTAAAAGGCTCAAAAAGTATCTCACAATTATTGATAGCTATTCAATACCAAAGAGAGATAGATATAATATTCATCTCCCTTTAATGAAGACAATAAATCAGAGGGGTTAAACTTTAGCCTCTAGAAGTCAATTTCAATACACAACTTTTGAAGACATGCTGCCTCACCTATGCATATTATGAAAATTAGTTAATACTGCAACAGAGGCTATAATCATAGCAATAAAAAAGGATCTGGGATTTGTGTTAAAATTTTCTCTAAGTGCTTTTAAGTGATAACTGAATATAGTTCATACAGTAGAATACGCTGATGAACACATTCAAACTTTTTAAAGATTGGCACAAAAAATACATAATGATTCCTTACTTCAAGCTTCAAATTCCATTGTCTGTTCCCTTCCACTCTCTCAATCAAAGGTTCCCAGACAGCATGTATTTCGTTATAGTAGTGAACCTGGAAAAAAACAGAATTTAATTTCAAACAAGAAAAGTGTTTTTGTCTCAACTACTGAATGCTGCTTCTTCAGCAAGGAGAAAAAAGTCCTGCTGGCTAATAGTATATACCCACAGTCATTTAAAATTATTCATGTAATTGTATAAATGTACCCAAAGAGGATTCCTTGACCCCCTTTCCTTCTAGTCTGTTCTTGTACTAAATGGTTCATTGCTAAAAATAACCTGTTTTAGAAAATGAAACAATAAATATACTATAAATTGCACTGAACAATGTAATTTATTAGAGATTCATAAATTTAAATGTGAAGGACTACTAAAGAAAACATATTACTTTAACAGTAGGATTTTGGTTTTACTACTGCTATAAATTTGCACTGGAAGGTGACAATGTGTTGGCAGTACCTCAAGGGTCATGTCAGCAGTAGCAGACATGAGAGAAGACCAGTTTTTAAAAGTTCCTGAAAATGTAGACTCCATCAATAATAATGGTATAGTCCGATGCCCCAAGCCACATTCAAAGGTGACCTGAACAGATTTTACAACCATAACGAAATTTTCCTTTATCGACGGTTGTTCAAGATCTCTGAATGTTTCCGTTACTTCTGTTGCCATGTCGACTCCAAGAAACCAAGCATTACAATCATCAATAGATTTGATGGCCCAGAGATTTTCAGTACTGTCTGATGTACTTTTTGAATCATCATCTTTCTTCTTTTGTGACATAGCAGCCATGATTGTCATTACAGTATTGAGAATTATTGGTGAAACCTTAAAAAAAAAAAAGCACAAGAAATAAATTAAAAGCTGCCCCATATGACAATAGCATAATAAAGAAAAAGAATTTATCTGTCAAAAAAATTAAATCTTCAAATTTTATGTGACATTAAAAAGAAAAGAAACAAAGCTGCATTTCACGCAAGAAAGCATTACTTCACTTGCAACTTCTCAGTTCATTATGTTTGCACTGAACTCATCTTAAAAATATAAGGTGAAAATCAGAAATTCTTCAACTTCTAGTCCCAGCTCTGAGCAAGTCACTTAACCTCTCTACCTTTTCATTTCCTCAGCTATAAAATAGGGATGACTCCTGATTACCCTAGTTGTTACTGCACCTCCTACTAATTATTCTCTATTTTGTACAATTTCTTAACATATTGTAGCCTCTTAACAAAAATAAAGCTGTTTGACAGCAGAGACTCTTTCACTTTTATATTTGTAACATTAACACATGGCACAGTGTCTGGCACAACAGAGATGCTTGATAATTGTCTGCTGACTGACTGACCTCGAGTACCTATCTCACAAGGTTGTTGTGATGCTCAAGTGAGGTATTATATGAATAGCACTTATACAGATATCTGTAATTACTATGATTATTTTATTCGTACGTGGAGTCAATACATGCACAGGAGTGCTCATCTGTTATTTGTGACTTTGGCTTCTTAAGGGATGGGAGTGGGGTTGGTAGGAGACAAGAAAGAGTTCTTGAGCTAAACCAAACCTCATTCCTTCTTCTTTTGGCACGTTATTTACATTTCCATCCCCACCCCAGTTCATACCTTTATTGTCTCATGCCTGTACTTTGCAAAACCTTACCATCTTCTCAAAATAATTTTAAACCCTACCACCAGATTAATCCTTCTCAAACAGCACTGATTATGTAATATTCCCTTTCCTCAATTAAAATATCTTCATTTGTTCTCCTTCATGTGCAAAAAATCCAATCTTAAACTAATCCCCTTCATAACCTTTTCATTCCAGTGAAAGCTGTGGATGTTCTTATATGCCAAACGTGACTTGAGCCTGCCCATCTCTACACCTTTGCTCTCACTGTTCCTTGTTCTCTTGACACCTAAACAAATCCTACCTGACTTTTAGAGCTCAGCTCAAACCCTTCCCCCTACAGGAATCTTTCCCATTCTACTCAGGACCATAATGGGAGACATGTCTATTCCCCATCCAATAATTTGCCAACTCCTCCACAAAATCTCTTTCACTAAACTCCCACCTCTTTCTCTCCCACTGCGTTACTTCAGGGACTCATTGTCTCATTCCTGGTGTCTACCTGGCAAGTAGTGACTTTTTTCTTCTTTCATATTCTCTGATCCTCCTAAATATTACTGCCATATTAAAGTTATGTTTTAAGAAGATTAATCATATTACTCCCCTACTCAAAAGTCTTTAATGTCTCCCTAATGTTCACAGAAAAGATGTAAACTGGTATTCAAAGTGCTTCACAATATGATCTGCTTTTGCAGTTTTGTCACCTTCACTCCCCTTTAATATATGTGTGTGTGTGTGTGTGTGTGTGTGTGTGTGTGTGTGTGTGTGTGT